TTCCCCGAAGGAGCTCACTGCAGGGCAGACCTTCCCAGCTAATGAAAGCTGCTTAGCAACAGGGAGCTTGTTAATAAAGCCCAATGTTATTCCCAGCTCCACAGACTCATCTCCTGCCTCCCATTACAGCTCATCCTCAGCCTGAAGCAACCCACAGGTTGATCCACCTGCACACAGCATGCAGAGAGCCTGGTGACCCAGTCAGGAGGGCTGGCCCATCCCGGCCTGGGCCCTGCCCCCAGGCTTCTGTTAGAAAGAGGGGAAGGTCACTGAGGCAGCAGTGGCATGACTGAGTCTGAGAACCTGCTCTGCCAGGCCACAAGTCTCTCTACGGGCCCGAGGAAACCTGTTCTAGCCACCGAAGACTAAAATCCTACACCTCAGTGTCCAATCAGAAAAGAGTAAATAGAAATACTGTGCCAGAATGGCGTCAGAGGGGAGGGCAGGCCCAGAGAAATGACGGCTTTTCCAAGGCCCATGGGTTGGTACTAAATGATCTCAGATCCCTTGATGGCAAGGGAACAACTGTGCCCTCTTTCAGCAAAGGAATAACTTTCAGATACAAAGTCCAAAGGCAAAACATGGGACAACTTACTGTTTAACTGTCATCTAGGGTAGAGGATGATGGCAGTGTACCAGTGGTGGCACAGGGAAGGCAGGGGCATTAATGAGACTCAATAGCAGGCACTCACATGAAAATGAGATTTAAAGATTATATTATGGAGCAGAATGCAAACTTAACACATTTTAAGGAAAAAAAAAAAAAAAACCAACCAACCAAACAAAAAAACAGTGGCAGTTTTGAGCCCATCTTGTAAGTGACACACTTCACTAGCAGGTGCCCCGGGGGTGGGGGCGCAGCAGCCACCCAGGAGCTGACCTGGCCTCAGGTTTAGGGGCAGCTGCTGCACTGCAGCTGCGCTCTATGGCAGCACTCCTGCCAGTCAGGTTTGCCAGCTCAGCTTCCTCACAGGAAAGTTTCTGGACAGACGGGTTTCAGCAAACACTCCACATATGTACCTTTTTCAGCATTGTGGCGAGCCCCATTCCTACCCCAGTTACTAAGAGGGGGGTAACTGTCCCCATCGTCTGTGAGTCTGCCTCACTCCTGGTCAGGGAGTCTTGGGTTCCATCTTGAGGCTTCTCCATGAAGCTTGGGCTCCTGGGTCCCACGTCTGTATTCTGAAGAAGCTACAGAAGCCCATCTTACCTAGGCCTGTCTCTCTCCTCTGTCATCCCAAGTGCTTTCCTGTCAACAACAAGGGAACAGCGTGGAGCCCAGCCTCCCCTGAAGCTCCAGGCCCTCCATGGTTCATCCACCTGCTCCTGAGCTTCAGTATTTTCTCTGCATTCCCACTTTCTCCAGAACAAAGCTGAAATTCAGACGCGGCTAGGGCGACAGCAAGACCTAACACAAATCTGGATCAACTTCAGACTAAAAAGGCATTTCTGAGTATTTTTCCAGGGAATGAGGGAGACTCCCACATCTGAATCTCCACAAAGCCAGTGGGATAATATTCTAATCAATATCTATTTAGTCTTGGGACTGCCATCCCATGTAGACACTGGTTTGAGACCTGGCTGTTCTGTTTCCAATCCACCTTCCTGCTAATGTGCCTGGGCAAGCAGCAGCAGAAGCCCAGTTGCTTCAGTTCCTACACCCACATGTAATATCTATAAGACGCTCCAGAGTCCTGACTTTGGCCTGGCCCCAGCCCCAGCTGTTGTGGCCATTTGGGCAGTAGTAAATCAGCAAGTGGACAATTTCTCTCTCCCCATTTACCTTTATAACTGCCTTTCGCATGTATATGAATAAGTAAATCTTTTTTTTTTTTTTAATCTATCTAATCTTCTTCCCCTTTCTATGTAAAAATCCCTGACTATGATTCTACTGTGTAATGCATGGACATGGCTTCCAGGCAGGACAAAAGGAGCTAGGATTTGTCTGTCAGTTTGGATGTTGAATGTCCCTCAAGAGCCCATGTGTTAAGCTTTTGGTCCTTAAAGTCCAAAGTCCTATGCTAATGACACTAAGAGGATGAGAACTTAATCCAGTGATGGTGTGTGAAAGTGGGGTTTTAGGAGGTGATTGGATTGGACTGGATCATTGGAGTGGAGCCCCATGATTAAATCCTGGTGGCTTTGTAAGCACACGTTCTCCCTCTTGCCATATAATGTTCTGCATTGCCTTGAAACCTTGTCAAAAAGAACATCCCCAGTAGGGACCAAACACTGGGGCCTGCCTCATCTGGGACAATGAGCTCCCAAAACTGAACCCAGGTAAAACTTGTCCTTTTACCAGTTAGGATGTCTGGATATTTTGTTATAGTGACATAAATCTAACACAAGTGGCTGATAATCACTACTTTAAACCAACATTATCTTGAGCTCTAGCCACTAAACACCCATTTCTAGAAAACACAGACCTCCCTTTTGCATAGGTCTTAGATTTCCCACCTAACTCTGCCAGGTGGACACTGCTGGCAACTCTTTTTTTTTTTTTTTAAGATTTATTTTTATTTTTTATTGGAAAGGCGGATATACAGAGAGGAGAGACAGAGAGGAAGATCTTCCATCCGATGATTCACTCCCCAGGTGGCCGCAACGGCTGGAGCTGAGCCAATCTGATGCCAGGAGCCTCTTTCAGGTCTCCCACGCGGGTGCAGGGTCCCAAAGCTTTGGGCCGTCCTCGACTGCTTTCCCCTGAGCCACAGGCAGGGAGCTAGATGGGAAGCAGGGCTGCCGGGATTTGAACCAGCACCCATATGGGATCCCGGGCGTGCAAGGTGAGGACCTTAACCACTGCGCCATCGCGCCAGGCCCGGCAACTCTTTTTCAACCACATTTCCTTCAGCAACTGTGCCCTGCAGCGTGTGTGCTTTGACAAAGCCTAGCACTATGCCATGCACAACGGGCCATCATAGAAGGTGCCAACAGCCACTGGCTGACCTTAAAGAAACACAGTACCAGTAGAAAAAAAAGTCATACTATTAATCAGATTAGTATACTTGGTGTGTTTGTGATAAATATTTACTTATTTATATGCAAAGCAGAGCAACAGAGAGAGGGAGAGCTAAAGAAAGGTTCTCCATCTACTGGTTCACTTCTCAAATGGCCACAAAAACAGCCAGCGCTGGGCCAGGCTGAAACCAGGAGCCAAGAACTCCATCTTGGTCTCCCACATGGGTGGCAGGGGCCCAAGCATATGGGCGATCATTCGCCATCCTCTCATGTGTATTAGCGGGAGGTTGGATCAGAAGCAGAGTACCTGGGTGTTAGAAGGGCAGACTGATACGGGATGATGGCATCATTAGTGGTGGCTTAAAAGACCGTCCTGGAGTGCTGCAGCACCAATGCTGGCATGCTTTTTTTCCCCCTGCCATGAAAGGCTGATTGGGTTGTTCCTTGTAAACTTGGGAAACCTTACATCATCTCAAAGAACTGGGAAGACTTACTCAGAAGAGAAAGGGTGAGAACTTTGCTTATAAACCTGGCTTCTGCTTCAACATACAAAGGAGAGGGAAACAAAGTCATTTTCTGAGCTCTTACTATGCGTTTATCACCTTCATCCTCACAAACACTCCTTAGACGGGAATCCCTGAAGGTAAAATAATTTAAAAACTTATCCCTGGGCCAGGCATTTGGCATAACTGCACTGCCTGGGCCTGCTCCTGCTTCCAGCTTCCTGCTACTGGTCACCCTGACAGGAAGCAGGTGATGGCTCAAGGACTCCGATCCCTGCCAGCTCCTGGCTTTAGCCTGGTCCAGCTCCAGCTGCGGCAGGCATTTTGAGGGTGAATGAGCAAATGGGAGAGATCTGTGCTTCAAGCAACAATAACCACCGGAACTTGCTGTCCACGAGGCCTTGAGAAGCAAGCAGCGCTCGGAAATGCAAAGGCCACAGCCCAATCTCAGGCCGCTCCACTTGCAGCATCCCCCCATTCACTCTTCCACATCTCTCTGCTTTATTACTACCTGTTATTACACGCGTATTTGTCTGTTTACTTTGTCCACCCTCCAAGAGAAAGTAACTTCCTGGGCAGGAACTCTGTCCTTGTCCTCACTGCCATTTCTCTATAAGGAACACAGTGCCTGGCACCCAGGGAACGCTCTGGGAGAGTCTGTGGTCAGACGGACTGGAAGAGTGGCTATCTCCCCACTCTGCAATCAAGTATCCACTCCCTTCAGAGATCAAAGAAAAGCAGCACAGCGATGACATAACACTTCAGAGGACTCGGAGGAAGGTCAAATTCCAGAATGTTGAGGAAGAAGTAATGGTTTACTACAAACTTCCTCCTTGGAAGGCTGGGTTCCCTTCTAGACCGAGTCCATATTCTTTTATACCTGGCCCAAGTGCTTAGAGTTAGCATGCTGACGGAAACACAGGTGGGATTTCCCAAAAAAGGAAGAGACCCAAGCATCCCCAAAGAACCAACCTCTCCCCAGAGTTAAAAGAAGATAAATCAGACAGTGACTCCTGAACCCACATCACCCGGCCTTTTTGTTCTCTCTGAGTGTGATTCCCACATTAGTAGCACCAGTCTCGTTTGTGAATTTGGTAGAAATCCAGATTCTCAGACCCATCCCTGATCTACTGGAATCAGAAATTCCAGGGCTGAAACCCAGAAACCAGCTTTCTTTTCTTTTCTCTTCTCTTTTCTTTTTTCTTTCTTCCTTTCTTTCTTTTCTTTTCTTTTCTTTCTTTTTTTTTTTTTTAAACAAGCATTTAAACAAGCCCTTTAGATGACTTTGGTGCATATTGGAGAGACAGAGAGAGAGATATATTATTTCCCTAGGGAAATTAACAGGTATAGATTCTTAGACTCTAAAGGTCCTTATTCGGTACATCAGGGTAGGAAACCCAAGATTCCAAAAACCGCTAATTCATTCAGACTTGCAGTCAGATCTGAGAACTCCTAATCCTGACAATAAGTCCTTTTTTTCTGGGTTCACGGTAGTGTTTCCAGTTCTAGGCCTACTTCCTGTCACCCCTTACTCACCACACAGGGCAATGATGTGGCTGCTGTCTTCATGCACGAACTTCCTGGTGACGGCTTCCTCCATGATCTGCTTCACCTGCGGACAGACAGACAGCACCGGTATGGTACAGGATCTGCCAGCCTCATCCGGGCGGGAGAGCTACAGAAGTGAAATTTCTCCAGTATGGCTTATTCTGAGCTTTTTGGGGAGGAAACCAGGAAAAAAAAGATGCCAATACTCCACTAAAACAAACCAGGGCAGAGGCTGTAGTGCAAGTGGAAGTGCCATGCCTAGATGGTCAGGAAGAGGATGCTGGCTGCTCCTCTTATGGGAGGGACAGGATCCTTCAGCACACACTGTTTCAGTACTGGTCGTGGCTAAAAAGCCTTGTCACCCCTTTCTTCTCCCTTTCCTGGGGTTTTGTTTGCGTTTCTTCTTTTTAGACAATTATATTTATTGGAAAGGTAGATCTATAGAGAGGAGAGACAGAAAGATCTTCCATCTACTGGCTTACTACCCAAATGGCCACAACAGCCAGAGCTGAGCTGATCCTAAGCCAGGAGCCAGGAATCTCTTCTGGGTCTCCCACGTGGGTACAGGGTACCAAGGCTTTGGGCCATCCTCTGCTGTTGTTCCAGGCCACAAGCAGGGAGGTGGATGGGAAGTGTGGTGGCCAGAACATGAGTCAGAGCTCATATGGGATGCTGATGCCTGGAGGTGGGGGATTAGCCAGTTGAGCTAGCACGCTGGCCCCGTTTGATTTTCTATTAGGACATAATGACTTCCCAATACTACGTCAGGTGGATAGTCATGTTTTTCTCTTAGAAAGCACCTGTGCATTTTTACTTTTTCAAAAGATTATTTTATTCACTTGGAAGGCAGAATTAAAGAGAGGAAGAGACAGACAGAGAGAGACAGAATCTTCCACCTATTGGTTAATGGCCACGTCTGTGCCTGACTGAAGCTATGTGCCAGGGGCTTCTTCTGGGTCTCCAATGTGTGTTCAAGGGCATTTGGAGCATTTTCTGCTGCTTTCCTGGGCATTTTATCAGGGAGTTGGATTGGAAGTGGAGCAGCCGGGACTACAACCAGCAATGTTGCAGGCAACAGCTTTACTCCCTCTGCCACAATGTAGGCCCCAAAAAGCACTTTTAGGGTCCAGCATGGTAGCCTAGCAGCTAAAGTCCTCCCTTTGCATGCGCCAGGATCCCATATGGATACTGGTTTATATCCCGGAGGCCCCGCTTCCCATCCAGCTCCCTGCTTGTGGCCTGGGAAAGCAGTCAAGAACAGCCCAAAGCCTTGGGACCCTGCATCCATGTGGGAGATCTGGAAGAGGCTCCTGGCTCCTAGCTTTGGACCAGCTCAGTTCCGGCTGTTGCAGCCACTTGGAGAGTAAAGCAGCAGATAGAAGATCTTCCTCTCTGTCTCTCCTCCTCTTTGTACATCTGACTTTCCGATAAAAAAGTGAATAAATAAATAAAAATTAATAAATCTTTTTAAAAAGCACTTTTTAAAACGTATTTTTTAAAGTGTTTACTGCTACTGTACCGTGGACATACAGAAGAGTGCTTATAAATACTCAAGATTGGAGTTTTTCACAAATAGAACACTCCTAGGAAATCTGCATCTAGAGTGGAAACAGAACACATGGCCAGCAACCCAAAGCATGGCATCAAATTCCCTTCCAGCCACTAACCCCACCTCAGGCATACATTACCCTAACTTGCCACACCAGAGATTCGCTTCCCGGGGTTTTATGTTTTTTTCTAGGTGGACTTCCTCAGTAGGCTATGTTTGCTGCCTGGTTTCTTGCGCTCACCAGTGTAACTGTAGGATGTGTTCAGGTTGTGCACAGTTATCAAATGCCCACTCTTCACACAGCTTGTCTAACTGCCATTTGGGTAGTTTCTAGTTTGGGGCTGTTAGTTTGCGGCTCTGAATTTTGGAACATGTCTTTGAGTGATCATATTGCTATATATATATATTATTTTTTTTTTAATTCTAGGCAGGAAATTTTTGATGCATATGGTTTGCTTGGCTGGATATTGCCAAACTGCTCTCCAAAGTGATTATACCAATTTGCACTTTCCACAGCACTGTAGGAGGTTTCAGTTGTTCTCAATACTGCGGTCAAACCCAGCTGATGTCCTGGGGGAACACTTCCTGGACACCAGCACTACTACTGAAGATGAGAACGTTGCATGAATTTCAACTCCAAGGTGAAACTTTACAGAGAAAGACAGCCCTAGGCAGAGCAGGCAGGCACGCAGAATCCTGAGGCTGTCCCCACTCGGATACCCTCACCCAGGATGACAGTCAGGAGGACATACAGCTAGAAGCCTGAGAAGTCTTCCTCCCTGCTGGAAAATGCTCACGGATAGAAGTCAGTGCAAGGGGGGTCAAGCCAGACCAGTTCACGTAATCCAGGCTAGTCAGTGCTTCCCAGCTCCCTTTCCCAGTGGGAGTCTGCACTCAACCGATCATAGTGTCCCAAGAAAACACCTGCAGGCATCTGCAGGCGGCTGCAAGGACAGTGGGGCCAGGAGAACTACTGTGCACCTAGAATTCAACCAGAGGCCCATTGAAAGGCCCATTGTCTTTTCTGTGGGGCAGGAAAGGATATGTTTCTTTGGCAATCATGCACTGACGGGGAGGGTTAGGCGGGGGAGGTGAGGAATATGCCGAGTTCAGAGCAGGACAACCCTGTCAGGTAAGGTGCCCACTTGTGGTACTTCCGTCTCCATTCTCCCTCAGGAATCATTCTCGGAGTGGTTCATATAGCCTTCTCAGTACTGGAGGAAAAGCAGCGGTTTCTTAAAAATCCGCCTCCTGGGGCCGGGTGGCGTGGCATGGCCTAGCAGCTAAAATCCTCGCCTTGAATGCACCGGGATCCCATATGGGCACCAGTTCTAATCCTGGCAGCTCCACTTCCCATCCAACTCCCTGCTTGTGGCCTGGGAAAGCAGCTGAGGATGGCTCAAAGCTTTGGGACCCTGCACCCACGTAAGAGACCTGGTGGATCAGCACAGCACCAGCCATTGTGGTCACTTAGGGAGTGAATCATTAGATGGAAGATCTTCCTCTCTGTCTTTCCTCCTCTCTGTATATCTGACTTTGTAATAAAAATAAATAAATCTTTAAAAAAAAATCCACCTCCTGGCCTGGCAGTAGCCTAGTAGCTAAAGTCCTCGCCTTGCATGCGCCAGGACCCCATATGGGTGCTGGTTCTTGTTCCGGCTGCCATGCTTCCTTCCAGTTCCCTGCTTGTGACCTGGGAAAGCAACTGTGGCTCCTAGCTTTGGATCTGGTCAATCGGCCATTGTGGCCACTTGAGGAGTGAACCAGCAGACAGATCTTTCTCCTTATCTTTGTAAATCCGACTTTCGAATAAAAATAAATAAATCTTTTAAAAAATCCATCTCCCCATCCCCGACGGACCCCCAGCTGTGGAGCTCCCTGGAAACCGCAGCATATCTGCCCAGAGTCTGGGCATTGCTCCTTCTCTGCTCGTCTCCTCCCTCCCTCTCGGGTCTCCATCAGTACACCGCGTTCTTCCTGAGGACAATCACTGAGATTTTCTTTTTCCTTGGGGAGCCCAGAGTTGCAACTGAAACACTGACTTGATGGATCCCTGGCTATTTCACAAAGAAGGCAGAATGATGCTTCTTACACAGGCTGGAGAGGGCACAGTTCTAATGGCATATGCATGTTTGGCCAATGAGAGGAAAGACAACAAACGTTAGCGCATGGCAGCTGGGTCTTGGTTTACCAAAGGGAATCATCTCAAGCTTTCCAGGAATAATAATAATTATTATTATGATTATCAGAATCCAATGTCTTTCCCAACTGTGAAATTCTAAGAGTAGGTAAAATGGACCCACCCAACAGCATTACCTCTTACATATGAGGTAGACAGTCCTATAGCCATTGTAGAAATGCAGGAATGGAGACTCAGAGAAATAAAGCAACTTACTAGGTTCACTCGATGCCAACATTTATGCTTTCCCACCAGGACTGGCAGTCCCCAGATCATAAGATTTATTTAGTGGCCACTACAGGCCTGCAGGGACACTGTGGACGAAACAGGTTTCCTGCCTCATGGACTTGACACATCTGGCAGATGACAGTCCCAGAGGCACGTGTGGGGAAGGCGTTCCATTCATTCCACTCTATTCTTCAGCAAAGCTCTCAAACCCTGGTGAGTCATTCAGATGGGCAGCCTGCACCCCCACCCCAATGAAACCCAAAAGGGCATCTGGGCAGAGTCAACACAAAGGGGTTAGTGGAAAGCAGCAGCTTTCTTTCTGATGTTGGGGTTTACCTCAGAAAGACAATAAATAAATAGAGTGTAAAAAAAAAATCCTCAAGAAAAAATACACCCTGGTCCCTGGATAAGGAGGTGGGCGTGGAGGGAAAAATGGAGAGGTGTGTGGGACCCTTTGGCAGCCACGACTCAGTTGCCAGAGTGATGCGGGAAAGGGGGCGTCGGACCGGGGGAGCTGAGAACCCCCGCAAACGCCGCGCGGGGCCCCGCCCCCTCCCCGGAGGCGCGGGCAATGAATGGGCAGCTAGGGTTCTCCAGAAATCGCCACCATCCCTCCTTCAGCCTCGGTCTCCGAGCCCTGCTGCCGTCACAGGGCGGAGACCCGCGGGACCACGAAGCAAACATGCCTCGGAGCGTGGGCTCGGCCCCTCCAGGCGAGGGGCGCTAGCCCCCAGATGTGCCAGAGGGGCTGAAGCCCCCAGGGGCCCCAGAACCCCACCTTTGCGGGGGTCCAGGCCCTGCTCGCAGGCACCTGCGCCGGAGGTTGCGTTCGGATGTGTTAAACCCCAGGGACCGGGGCGCGAGACCACCCCCCCCCCGCGAAGTCCCTGCGCCCTCCGCGATCCTCTCCCCCCACTTTACCTCCTTTTTCACGTTCCACAGCAGTTTCTCTTTGACTGCATCCTCCGCGCTGCCCATGGTGCGGTGGCTGGCGGGGAGGCGCCGCCGAGCGGCCCCTCAAGCCCCCCGCGCGTGCCCTCGCCGCCTCCGCGCCTCGCGGCTCAGCGCCCCACACGGAAGGCGGAGTCCCTGCCCGGCGCGCTCCCCGCCCGCCGCCGCCGCCGCCACTGCCCGGTGCCAGGCTCCGCAGCCATCTTCCGAGCCCCGCACAGACGTCAGGCGGCAGGCCCGCCCCTTCCCACAGCCCCGGCGGCGGTGTGGGGCGGGCGCAGCCGTTTGCTCACAGCCACGGGAGCGGGGCGGGTGTGTGTGTGCGTGTGTGGGGGGCGGGTGGGGAGGGTCGGGACCGGAGGAGGCTGCGTGTCTGGGGGCGGCGGGCCCGGGAGCTTGCCACGGGGGCTGCTGCCATGGTAACGCGCCTGCTCCCGCCCCGAGGGCGCGAACCCGCATTGTGAGCGTCCTCAGTCAGTCCCGCACTGCGCCGCCGCCGGCCGTGGGGACCGAGAGTGGACAGTGGCTTGCACTATTGATGGCCTCTCTCCTCCTCCTGCGGGCCCCGGGCTTCCGATGTGAGGGAAAGAACCGGGAGCTGGTAGGGTCGGGTGGGAGGGCGTTTGGCCCCAGTACCCACAGTTGCAAAGCTTGCGACGAGCCACGGCCCCACACCTCCTCTGAGCCTCAGGGTGTGCCAGGGTCATGTCCAGCTTGCAGTGTCCCCTTCGGGGTCACCATGGCTGCCTGGGATGGCCCCACTCGGCATTGTATGGGGGGGGCGTGGGCTGAAACACAGGGACCGTGGGAGGCTTGCTCGCAGCAAGTGAGGGCGAGAGCAGCGCCGCAACTTGAAGGGACGTGAGGGAGAGGAGGATGGCTCAAAGTGGTGAACAGCTGTTGTAGCAAACTGAGGAGCGGCGCGCCTTGGAAATTCGCGAAGGGAGGGGCTTCGGCCTTCCCTTGCGCCATGGACTCTTCATTCATTTTCCTACGTGATGGCGCAAAAACTGAAAATAAGGGGGAGCAGAACAGCCCCTCCTCGCCCGAACCGAGAGCACTCGCCGTGACCGGTTACGGGCTCCGATTTGCAGTCGGCGCAGACTGCGGCGCCGGGAAGGTGTCCGCATCCGCCTTGGTGGAGCGCGGCTTCAGCCCCGGGTGGCTGAAGAACATGCTGAGGGAAGGCCGCGGGAGGCCTGGCCCATCCCCGGTCCGCCCTCCGGCCCGCCCCTGGCCCGCCCCTGGTCCGTTTCCCGGTCCGCCCCCCGGCCCATCCCCGGCCAGCCTCCCGGTCCGCCCCCCGGCCCATCCCCTCGGAGCAGCCGGAAACGCTGCGCCGGGCCCGGAAGCAGTGCGGCCAGGGCCCACGTGAACGGCGGCATGGCGGCTCACCGCGCCGGGCCTCTCAAGCAGCAGAATAAAGCTCATAAAGGCGGGCGGCATCGGGGCCGCGGGTCCGCACAGCGGGACAACAAGGGTGAGGAGACGTGATTAGGAGGAGGAAGTTTTTAACCGGTGTTCGCTACTTTCCCCTCGGCCCTGCCGGAGCCGGTCCCGGGTGCGGGAGGCCTCTGTCTGAGAGGGGGCGCCGAGCGGGATTCTTGGTTGCCTTTTTTCGGGCGCTGAGCTCGCCAGCCCCTTCTGATCTGCCCCGCTAGGCCGTCTGGGAGTGAAAACCGTGTGCAAGAAGGTGAGGAAAGAGCTCAGCCGAGTGGATCAAAGGCATCGCGCCAGCCAGCTCCGAAAGCAGAAGAAGGAGGCGGTGAGAAGGCGGGCTGGGAAATGATGCTCATTTACAAAAGAAAAAAAAAAATATTTGAAAGGCAGAGTTACAGAGGAAGGGAATGACAGAGATCTTCCATCTGCTGGTTTCCTCCTCAAATTGTGGGGGGCGGGGGGAGTGCAACAGCCAGGGTTGGGCGAGCCAGAAGCCCCATCCAGGTCTCCCGCTTGGGTGGTAGAGATCCAAGCAGGTGGGCCATTTTTCACTGTTTTCCCATGACTTGCTTTATCACAAGGCTGGGCTTAAAACAATGTCCTTCTAGGCCTTGAACTGGAACCTGTGATCCAGGGAAGTGAGGAAGGACCCAGAAGGCCCTTAGAGGACGGGTTGGGTGCGCAGGCCTGGACTGGCGCTGCAGTGTGTTTTGGTTGAGACTTCTGTCTTTTCCTGGGATCTACCTATGGGTTTAGGGTGGAATGCTGGTGGGGGTGTGATAACTGGCGCAAAGTGCTGGGGTGAAACTAGTCCCTGACGGTTGTATTACCAGGTTCTTGCAGAGAAGAGGCACCTGGGCAGCAGAGATGGTCCCCCTCACCAAGTCCTGGTGGTTCCCTTGCACAGCAGGGTCTCCTTGTCGGTGGCCTTTCAGCTGCTCCAGGACAGGGAGGCTGGGACTGTGCACTTGAAAGGGTGCGACAACACCCAGAGCTTTGTGCTGCTCTGCCCCCAGCTGAGACACCGATGGTTTTTCACATCTGCAAGGCCAGGTAGGGTACCAGATTTTTTTTTAATCTAATGTTTGAGTAATGGCACTATTTTTTGAACATTACATGCCAGTGCCAATCACCTCTTACTGTTTTCTCTCTCCAGGGGATCTGCATACTGTGTTAGATTTAGCTAAAGTAGCTGACACCATCCTCTTCCTCCTTGATCCTCTAGAAGGCTGGGACAGCACTGGGGATTACTGTCTTTCTTGCCTCTTTGCTCAGGGCCTCCCCACGTATGGTGAGTTGGATTAATGGATGCTAGGGAAGGAAGGGGATGAATTGACATTTATTGTGTACCTATAATAGATTATGCACTATTTCTGGCATGGGGATATGGATAGGTTTTATTTAGCTGGTGGTAGAATGTACAGATGTGGTTTAAACTTGTCCATTTTCTAAAAATTATCAAAGTTCAAGAAAAAAGATCCCTGGGTGTCTGTTGACCAGAAGAATAAAGGATTTGATTCCAGTGTGATATTTCTGTAGGGTAGCTGAGTATGGGTTTTCCCAGTAGTCTCTGAACTCACAGTTGCACTATTAGGTTGTTTGCATTACAGGGCCTTTTCTGTAGGGAATCAGTAGGTCATAAATCCCTTTCTCTTTGGCTGGCAGCCTTAGCTATCCAGGGAGTATCTGGCCTCCCACCGAAGAGACAAACAGATGCCAGAAAGAAGCTAAGTAAAGTGGTGGAGAAGCGCTTTCCGGATGACAGACTCCTCCTGTTGGACACTCAGCAGGAGGCTGGAATGCTGCTGAGGCAGCTGGCTAACCAAAAGCAACGGCACCTCGCTTTTCGAGATCGGCGGGCCTACCTGTTGGCTCACACTGCTGATTTTGTGGCTAATGAAGAGAATAGCACTGTGGGCACCTTGAAGCTCTCGGGCTATGTTCGTGGGCAGGCTCTGAATGTGAATAGCTTGCTGCACATTGTTGGACATGGTGATTTTCAGATGAAGCAGATAGATGCCCCCATGGACCCTTATCCTTTGAATACTAGAGTGGTTAAATCCCAGAAGCATACAGGCATGGCAATGGAGGTAAGATGACGTTCTTAAAAACTATGGGCTGTAGATTTGTATGGTTGTAGATTTTTGGCATGGAATGGAAATACATTCAGAGATGGTGGCCTACACTCTTAAGCCAGTGGGCGGTTTACTAGTTTGGAGTGTGGCAATAGTCTGGATACTATCTACTTATCTACACTAAAAAGTCATGTGTTTATTCTGCACTGCAACTGAGTATGAACTTATAAGACACAAGGTGTGGTTACTTTCCTCAGAGAATTTAACCGAGTCAGGAAAGCACCTGTGAACTATGGAGTGTGAGAGCATCCGAGTTACACATATGCCATGGAAACCAAGAACACACATTGCCAAGCCTCAGACTTGAGCCAGGTGCTGAGAAAGATTTATGAGTTGAAGGGATGAAAGACTATATTAGAAGTAGAAATGGTGTGAAAGCGAGGCACAGAAAGCAGTCAGAGGGTTTCTATTGGAACTCTAAAGACATGAACTTCATGGGAGTGAGGTACGTAATCAATGAGTAGGAGTGGAACCAGATTAAGCAGGGCCTCAGGAGCCAGGCAGAGGCACAGACTTAAAGTGCCGGCAAACAGCCATTGGGAAAAGGGTGGCAAACTACGGCTTTCTGTTTCCATCCATCCATCTTCGTGAAGACTGATGTTTCTGGTTATTGTGTGAGTTTTGGGGTTCCTGTGTGACCATCAGATCGGTTTTCAGATCTGTGCTGGGAATGCTGTGACCAATATGGAAGAAGACATTAAGGTCCTGATGAAGGCTGACCCTGAGAAACAGGAATCTTTGCAAACAGAGGTTATCCCAGATCCAATGGAGGGAGAGCAAACCTGGCCTACTGAGGAGGAGCTAAGGGAAGCAGATGGTGAGTATTGGCAGGGTTGTTGTTGCCTGTCTGATGTAGAATCATGGGTTTTGTGTAACCGCTCATGTGAAGATCACCGAGGACAGAGTGGAGTATGGATGGATGTGTGTACTTGAAAGCATGTTCCCTCATCCATGAAGGCTGCATGTTTGCTCATTTTTAATGTTAATTTATTTATTTATTATGTAGTTGAAAGGCAAAATGACAGATCAATCTCCCAACTGCTGGTTCACTCCTTAGGACTCAAGCCAGCATTCCCGGTATGCCACATAGATATACCAAGCAGCATCCTTTTTTCTTTTTAAATTTATTTATTTAGTTTGGGCCCGGTACAGTGACCTAGCGGCTAAAGTCCTCACCTTGAACATGCCAGGATCCCATATGGGTGCTGATTCTAATCCTGGCATCCCTGCTTCCCATCTAGCTCCCTGCTTATAGCCTGGGAATTGTGGCTTCGGATTGGCGCAGCACTGGCCATTGTGATCATTTGGAGAGTGAATCATCGGATGGATTATCTTCCCCTCTGTCTCTCCTCTGGTTTTGCAATTAAAAAGAAAAGATTTATTTATTTTATTGGAAAGGCAGATTTACAAAAGATGGGAAGGAGAGAGAGAGAAAGATCTTCCATCTGCTGTTTCACTCCCAAAGTGACCGCAATGGTCGGAACCAAGCTGAACCAAAGCTAGGAGCCAGGAGCTTCCTCTGGGTCTCCCTCGTGGGTGCAGGGTCCCAAAGCTTTGGGCCGTCCTCGACTGCTTTCATAGGCCACAGCAGTGAGCTGGATGGGAAGTGGAGAATCTGGGACACGAACCAGCATCCATATGGGACTCTAGAGTGAGCAAGGAGAGGACTTAACCACTAGGCCTGACCACCATTCTGGGCCCCAGATTGCATCTCAACCCAGTGCGCAGTGCCTACCCCGTCATGTTTTATAATAAACTGTATAACAAGGTATGTATCTAACTGTGTAAAGTATTGGCAGCCAGATTAAATTGGGAAGTAGTGTTTTCTAATCATGTCTGTTAGGGATTCTTAGCAGGGCTAGCAAGCATCTTAGCCAGGTGAAAATACCTAAAGTAATGGGAAAAAGGAGGTGCGCATAGTTTTCTTGATTGTTTTGGACTTTTACAGACTTTTTGAAGGAAAGTTCCAAAGTGGTAAAGAAAGTCCCCAAAGGAACATCTAGTTACCAAGCTGAATGGATTTTGGATGAAGACGGTGGCAGTGGTGGTGAGGGAGATGAATATGATGATATAGAACATGAGGATTTTATGGAAGAGGAATCTCAAGTAAGCAAATGCGCCCTGGAGCCAGCATTGTGGGCACCGTGAGTTAGGCCACCACAGGAGGCACCCATAGCGGAGTGTGGGTTCAAGTCCTGACTACTCCAATTCTGATGTAGCTCCCTCCTAATGCAGCTGGAAAGTAGCAGTACTTGAGTTCTTGTGACTCATCTGGCAAGTGAATCAATAACTGGAGGATCTCTGACTCTGTCTTTGCTTTTCCAATAAATAGATAAACCTAAAAAAAAAAAAAGAGAGAAAAGAATGTGGGTCCTTCAACTACTTCTATATATAACTCCAAGGCAAATGGCAGTCCTGACTTAGGGATTATAGGTTCAATCTCTTGCCTCTTGGAGCTGGCATTGAGGCACAGTGGATTAAATTACCACCTATAACATCAACATCCCTTGTGGGTGCCAGTCTCATCTGTGCTATTGCCAGTGCAGCTCCCTGTGGATATGCTTAGGAAAGCAGTGAAGATGGCTCAGGTTCTTGGGCTCTTGCAGTGCCTGTGGGGATTTGGATAGAGTTCCATTCTCCTGATTTGGCCTGGCCCCGGTGGAAGCATCCGGTGGAAGGTCTTGGTATCGTTTCTGTTCTCCCTGTACTTCTGTCTTTCAAATAAAATCTTTGAAAAACAAACCAAAAAAATGGCCTCTCTGGGTACTAAGAATGAGACTTTTGTTTTATAATTTAGGTTCCATTAGATGTACATATATATGTATATGTATTTAAAAGATTTGTTTTTATTGAGAGGCAGAGTTGTAGGGAAATGAGAGAGTTCTGGCGTCCTGTGGTTCACTCCCCAAATGGGCTCAATGGCTGGGGCTAGGCTAGTCTGAAGCCAGGAGCTTCTTCTGGGTATCCCATGTGAGTGCATGGGCCCAAGAACTCGCTGCTTTCCCAGGCGTATTAGCAGGGAGCTGGATTAGAAGGCAAACAGCTGGGACTCCAACCAGTGCTCATGGGATAACATAGTCGGCTCCCATTGATTGGGACCAAGTACCTGTTAAATTATTCCTAGCTTAGTGGACTTTGAGGTAGAGACAGATGCAGGTTTTGGAATTTTTTTCCCCTCCTGAAATAACTACCTCTTTATTCTATAGGGTGAAGGTAGTGAAGTGGAAGATGAACAAGAAGAAGAATGTGAAACTATGACTATAGGGGACTCTGTGCGTGATGATCTGTATGATGAGAAAGTGGATGAAGAGGCTGAGGAGAAAATGCTGGAGAAATACAAACAAGAACGAATGGAAGAGATGTTTCCAGATGAAGTGGACACCCCCCGTGATGTGGCTGCCAGAATACGGTTTGTTCACAAGCCTAAATTCAGTCAAGCGGTTTTATTTTAAAATTTACATGGCTCAGAATAAAAAAACAAAAGCAAAAAAACAAGTAAAAACAAAAAATTAATATGGTTCCAAATGTCAGTGTGATCCAGAAGAAAACATTTTGTTCCTCTTGTTGATGCATATGTAACATTTGGAGGTTTCTGGGTTGCTTGGAACAGTAACAAGGGACGTGTGAAGAAGGTATCTATGATCCAGTTTCCTCCGGGGCCAAATCTCATTAAAGCCAGAAAGTCTTCATTGGAAATTAGAATAGAATAGAAAGGCTGTTTTCATCCTTGTCAGGTTAAAGAGTCTGTTCCTTGACAGGCAAGTCAGAGAAGCAAATGGGGTGTCCATGTACAGAGAGACTCCCCAAATGTCTGTAACAGCTAGGTTTGGCAGGAAATGCCAGGATCCCGAAAGTCAACCTGGGTGTCCTGTGTAGGCGGCAGGGACCTAGCTGGAGCCATCGCCTGCTGACTCGGCCCCAGGCACTCCAGTATGCAGATGCAGCCATCTGCAGTGCCAGTTAGCTTCTGATTTCTTTAATTCTTCTGTATTCTAGATTTCAAAAATACAGAGGCCTTAAGAGCTTCCGGACATCTCCTTGGGATCCTAAGGAAAACCTTCCTCACGATTATGCTCGGATCTTTCAGTTTCAGAACTTTACTAATACTAGGAAACGCATTTTTAAAGAGATTGATGAAAAGGAGCTTGACGGAGCTGAGGTATCTACTTTGCATGTCTGTCCTGAAAGTTGCTTCCATTTGCTTTAGTGCTCCCTACTTTACTCCTCCTCTTGGCCCCAGAATGAAGATCCAATTGTTGCCCAGGCTGAAGTAAGGGTGTACTGAGTACTCCGCAAGAGCGATACAGGGAACAAAGTATCAGATGACACCTGCTGAGTTCATCTGGATAACTTTATTATATATTATATTTTTTAAAGATTTATTTTTATTGGAAAGGCAGATATACAGAGAGAAAGAGATAAAGATCTTCAGTCCGCTGTTTCCCTCTCCAAGTGGCTGCAATGGCTGGAGTTGTACTGATCCAAAGCTAGGAGCCAGGAGCTGCTTCTGGGTCTCCCACGCACGGGTGCAAGGACTCAAGGCTTTGTGCCGTCCTTGATGGCTTTCCCAGGCCACAAGCAGGGAGCTGGATGGGAAGGGGAGCAGGTACGATATGAACTGGCACCCACATGGGATCCTGGCGCATGCAAGGTGATGATTTAGCCACCAGGCTATCATGCCAGGCGCTCATCTGGGTAATGGAAAGACAATCTTAAAGGGTGAGAGTTGGGTTTTGAGGAAGTCTTGAGAGTTATATTTGGGAAGTTGATTGTCATTGTTGTGACTTGACAGGTAACTCACTAGTGTCTATTGCCTTTGTCTTATAGGTTGGTTGGTACGTCACAGTCCACGTTGCAGACGTCCCTGCCTCTGTGGTAGAGTCTTTCCGGCAAGGAACACCCATGGTTGCCTTTTCTTTGCTCCCTCATGAGCAGAAGGTAAGTCAGCCTGTTCTGAAAAGTCTAAAATTCTAGTTTTGTTTGCTCATGTCGCTGGAAACATTGTATTCTTTATGAAGAGGCATTGAAGAGAGAAGTCAATGATGGTTTTACCCTACATGTCTGAACCTGTCTGAAGCATCTCAGTGATGCCCTCTGTGGTTCTGAGACTTCTCTGGGATAGTTTTTTAGGTTAGATGTTGTACAGGGCTGGCAGCCGAAAAACTAAAGGTATTGCCGATGTACAGAGCTCTTGGCCAGTGGTGGTGTGTGTTGGGGTTCTGTGCCTTTGGTCAGTGTGGATAAGGGTGAAAGTGGAGGAAGAACAGGCTTGTGAATGCTTGTGACGGTAAGGTGAGTGGGTCAGTGATTAACTTGAAGGCCACTAGTTTTGCGGCAGATGTCCAGCTCTCTTCTGTTGGATGCAGAAGGTTAAGTGAGCCTAGAGGAGTGCGTGCAAGCTGTAGCCAGCTGGAGCTTGGCTGGAGTACCTGTTCGAGGAGGTAAAGGGAGACTGTGCCGTTACCTGTACTCCACCTGAATTTGTACTAACATTCCCAAGAGTGAATCGAGCTGTCTGCTGGTCCGCTTTGCCTTTTTGCAGGCCAGGCTGTTGTATTTGCAGACTGTGAAATGCTGTGTTTTCCTTACCTGGTCCTCAGATGTCAGTGTTGAACATGGTGGTGAGGCGGACCTCTGGTGACACCGAGCCTGTGAAAGCCAAGGAGGAGCTCATCTTCCACTGTGGGTTCAGGCGCTTCCGTGCGTCGCCTTTAATCTCTCAGCACACTGCAGGTCAGCAGTTGGGAAGCTCCTGGGTTCTTGTCCATCTTACGCTAGGGGATATTGACTTGGGGTGGGGACATTATGATAATAATAATTAGGTCTCTGGGTTTGAGATATTTTCAGTACTCTGGCTTAGGAGCCAATGATGTTTTTATTCAAAATGTCTGAACCTGTCTGATGCATCTCAGTGATGCAATCTTTGTATTGCTGAGGCTTCTCTGCCATGAGTATACATTCCAGGTTTTTTTTTGTTTGTTTGTTTTTGCTTAAAGGCAGCATGGAAAAGAGAAAAGAGACAGGAAGATCTTCTGTCCACTGAATCCTCAAATGGCCACAATGGCGAGAGCTGGGATTGTTTGAAGCCAGGAGCTAGGAGCTTTCCCAGGCCATTAGTAGGGAGATCAAAGGGGATGCCAGTGTTGTAGGTGAAGGCTTAACATGCTGGCCCACAACATTGGCCTCATCCAGTATAGGTTTGGAATCACAGCTGGCAGCTTTATAAAAAGGGTGTGTCAAGTTGTTGGGTGCCCTTGTGTGCGATGTGTTAGTAGGAGTGTGGGTGAAAGAATGGAGCTGGGTGTGGACACAGTTGGGCAAAGCCAGGGAGCTGTGTGATTTGAGATACTGCGCCTGGATGAGTTTGAAGAGCAGTGACATGGGACCCTGGCCTTCTGAATATTACCTTAGCACATTAGTGACTTACTTGGCCCTCAGTAATGGTGGAAGTACTGATTTTTTTTTTCCTTGCCAACTATGCTCTTTTTTTTTTTAAGATTTTTTTTTTTTTTATTGGAAAGGTGGATATAGAGAGAGGAAAGAGGAAAATCTTCCATCCGATGATTCACTCCCCAGGCGGCCGCAACAGCTGGAGCTGAGCAAATCCAAAGCCAGGAGCCTCTTCCGGGTCTCCCACGTGGGTGCAGGGTCCCAAAGCTTTGGGCCGTCCTCAACTGCCTTCCCGGGCCACAGGCAGGGAGCTGGAAGGGAAGCGGGGCTGCCGGGATAGAACCAGCGCCCATATGGGATCCCGGGCGTGCAAGGCGAGGACCTTAACCACTGCGCCAGGCCCCCAACTATGCTCTTTTAAAAGATCCTGTATTCCTATAATTTGGCAGGAATGGTGGAAGGTTATGTTGGAGGTAAAATTGAAGCTCCAGATAATGTCAAGATTAGGGATGAACAAACTGTGACCTTGGGCCAATATGATCATTGCTTGTTTTTGTCAACAAAGGTTTATTTGAACACACAACTTTTTATTTTTAAAATTAATTTATTTGACTATGAGACAAGACAGAAAACTCCCATTTGCTGAATCAGTTCCCAAAGTGCCTGCAATGGCAGGGGGCCAAAAGCAGGAATCCTGTCCAGGTGTGCCCAGGTGGGTAGCAAGATCCCTGTTATTTGAGCCATCACCACTGCATGCAAAGGGCCATGTTAGTAGGATACTGGAGTAGGAACCCAAGCTGGAGATTGCACACCAGTACCCTGGTGTGGGACATGGCATCTTCCCTGCTGGGTCAGGGGCTTCCTGTTTACTGTCTGGCTGCTTTTGTGCTACAATGGCGAGAGTTGACCAGCCTGACAGGAACTATATGGCCACAAAGCCTAATGTGTTTACTCTCTGCCCTTTATAGGAATTGGTGTCATTCCCCATTAGGGACTAAGAATTGTTGATTTGGCAGAGATCCTTTTCATAGATCCCATATATAGATTTATATAATTTCTCCAATAGGGTACGGGTGGGTGATAGGCATCTGAATCGCCAGAACTTTTCAAATCCCAAAGAGGAGTCCAGTCTCTTTAAGATTCTGTCTCCATTTGAAAAACTCACTGGATTGTATTTTATTTTTATTGGTGCAAGACAGATTTTTTTAGATCTAGTAGGGCAGAGACACAACCTGCCTTAGGCTTAAGAGTTGCAGTAATCCGGGTTTTTCATAGCTATCTGGATTGATTACCTATGGCTTTTCTCAAAATGTCTTTGTTATTTTCTAACCCAAAAGTTCTGTTTTGTGGCAGCGGATAAGCATAAATTTCAGAGATTCCTGACTGCTGATGTGGCCCTCGTGGTAACTGTGTACGCGCCAATCACTTTTCCTCCTGCATCTGTGCTGCTCTTCAAACAGAAAAGTAACGGTAAGTTCACAGAAGTAAGGTCCTTAATAGGATTTAATTTGCCTCTTATGTTTAAGTTGAGAAGCAAATAATGTTAAGAAAGTGTAATGATAATTTTCAACGTACACTACTTCCTGCCTCACAGTGGGTCTAATGTAGGGAATGACAAGCTGGGTTTTCATCCTGGCTGAAAACGTTAACTCGTAACAGGAGGCTTCTCAGAGTGCTACCTGTACACTTAGCCCACACTTTTTAATGTTGGCCAGCCTAGTACGTTGTTACCAAGATTCCTTCAAGGCCATTTTGCATAGATGTGTAAAAGAATTGGAAGCATAACCTCAACAGCTGCTTTGCTTTCGCCTCTTAGGAATGCACAACCTCATTGCCACAGGCCATCTGATGTCAGTGGATCCAGACAGAATGGTCATCAAGAGAGTTGTTCTGAGTGGCCATCCTTTTAAAATCTTCACTAAGTCGGCAGTAGTGCGTTACATGTTCTTCAACAGAGAGGATGTGCTCTGGTTTAAACCAGTGGAACTGAGAACAAAGTGGGGCCGAAGGGGACACATCAAGGAACCTTTAGGTATGAGAATGTGGGATTTGGGACTTTGTCTAAATTTCCCATGTTAATGAATGGCTTGGATTGGGAGTTCATTGCTTTATAATTTCCCATGTTTAATTTTACTAACTTGCTCTGTTTTCTTCCTAGGTACTCATGGCCACATGAAGTGTAGTTTTGATGGGAAACTAAAATCCCAAGATACAGTATTGATGAATCTGTATAAACGAGTTTTCCCCAAGTGGACTTACGATCCATATGTACCAGAACCAGTGCCTTGGGTAAAAAGTGAGATTTTGTCACCAGAACTTGAAATGGATGCTGAATAATGGACTCCCTGGGCTTCTGGCACCTTAGACGCAGGACCCTCTGCTGTGCCTGGGCATTTTATTGTTTCTAATTTAACTGGATGGTTTACAAAGGATTGTTTTGGCTTTCGCAGGGGTTTCAGTTAAGTACAAAATTTTTCTCCTACTACTTAAACAATTAAATCTTACTGACGTGTCTACTTTTCATTAGAATTTTGAAATCTATTTTAAGAGAGAGGAAATGTTGACAATAACCAGAAAACAAAGTCCCACATGTTTAGAGACATTGTATCCCATCTCTTCCTTTTGGGTAACTTAAACACAGACAGACTGAGCTGGCCTTTCAGCCTGTTTCATCCAAGTTACAGAGGTTAAGTCTACATTTCCACCACTGAGCACAACACAGATATTCTTCACTTCTGGGGAAACAGTTTGGAAATGCTGAGAAAGTACAGCAGCCACTCCAACAGCAGCTGTCGGTTCAATCAGTAGCTTCATCCTTTCCCACACCAGCTTGGTCGCATACTGTTGGTATAGAAGGAAGTGAGAATGAGTGAATTGGAAGTCTAAGGGGTTTAATCACATAAAGATCAGAAGAGGATCTGTGCTCTGTCTGGGTTTCCTTATTGTCAGGTATGTGTGTTTGCCAGTAAAGAGCAGACTTTTTCCTGACACTGCTCCGCCATCAACATGGTCACAATTAGGGTGCCTTCTCCAACATGTAATGGAGTCACCAGGTTAAAAGTCCCTGTGGGTCTCTTGCTACTTCTAGGAGGATGAAGTGCTTTTGCCCAGGTTCCTTTGTTCCTTTTCCCCTTGGGGTCTTACCTTAATCTCATCCTCTGTGACAAGGAATATGTCATCCACAAGGTCCCTGATAATAGGCCAGGTGTTTAAGCCAATACTGGACTTGACGCCGTCTGCTATGGTTTCTGGAGGGCCAGGATTGGGTGTGAGTTCCCCTTTCAGTTTGGACTGGTAGCAGTCATCTGCGTTCAAGGGTTCAGCAGCATAAACCTTCACGTCAGGTCTCAGAGCCTAGGCAAAGGAGCCTCACATTAAACAGGCCCAGTAAATGACATTCCTTCCAAAATTTACCCCTGTGATAAATGTCATGAAAATATGACTATGAAGCACTTTATAAATAGTTTACTGATGGCCCTCAGATGTCTGGGTCACATCTGGCTCCACAGTTATTCTGGGGAAAGGGAGTGCTTGGTGTGGGGGAAACGGGATTCAGGGACGAGATGTGGGAGTGCCACTCATTGTAACTGCTCAGTGAAGAGGGTGGTGAGGCAAAGAAGGCCTTCCATTCAAGTACCAAGGGATTCTAGCAGTGGATGGCAAACTGGGGGAGACGACTGAGCAAATCACTCGTATTCTCACTGTATTATGGCACAAAATAAGCTCTTGATGTTGGAGGCAGGAGGCTCTCCAGAAGTGTTCTCACCTTAACCGTAACTGCTATTCCAGCAACCATTCCTCCTCCTCCTACCGGAACCACAAGTGCATCCACCAAGGGAACCTTTAGTAAGAATGGAAAATATGAATGAGACCACTAATAGGCAGTTTTTGTGTACATACTAAGTAATTGAGTCTGCAGCAAAATGGCTTTACCAGGAGCTGTAGTACCTGGTTCAGCACTTCCAGGGCAATTGTGCCTTGCCCAGCTATCACTGCAGGTTCCTGGTTGGGATGTATCATGATGCCTTCTGTTTCTTCCACAATTCTCTTTGTAACATTTTCTCTAGACTGAAACACGTTGGATTAGTTTACTTGATTTGACTTAACAGACCTTCCAACAAGTTCAATTCAGTCACGACACACTGTTGGCCATATATTTTTCAAATGGATCCTGCCCACAAGAGGAGGGTATATTCTTAGGTTATGGAGAGAGGTTGGGAAGTAACTGATACACTTAAAGGCTATGGAGAAAAATGAAGGAATTTGTTTTATATGAGTTGGTCAGAAAGGGCCTCTAGTAATTAAGTGACAACAGATTTGAGCAAATGAGTCTTTCCACATGAACATTCCACATGAGTAGCAAGTGCAGACTCTAGAGTAAGAGTGTTTGGCCTTTCTGAGGAACTGCTAAGAAGCCAATGTGACTGGCATGGAGTATTTTAAGGGAAAATTGCAGATGAGCTGAAGGTACAAAGGAACTGGACAGTTCAGTTCAGGCCCAGATGATGCAGCACTACGCATGAAATGGGAAACAGTGTTTTGAGTGGACAAGAAACATGTTTGGACTTACTAAATGCATGGCTTTGGTTGCTCTTGAAAACAAGGGACAAGGGTGGAAGAGGCTAGCTAGGTTACTGAATCAACGAGAATTGACGTTGGAATCAGGGTAGCAGTGGGCTGCTGGGCTAGCCTGGAAATAATTTTGAAAGATCTGTGATTTGCATGTGGGGTTTGAGACAGTTATAAAAGGTAATACCATTTTTTTCCAGTTTACTGGAGGTAAGGATTGGAATGGGAATAACTGGGAAGTTTGAAATGCCTTCGAGATATCCAAGTGGGAAAAGGGTGTCCAGGTGTGTAGAGTGGTTAGAATAGAGGTAGTATTTTTTAAGCTGACACTAATAACACCTGAGTGAGTATAGGTAAGAAGTTGGAGCAGACCAACACAGATGAGGAAGTGATGAAGGGGACTGAAGAGCGGCAGCTAGTCCGATGAGACTGCTTTCTTACCTCATCACTCGGCTCGCTGTACACAATAGAGGCGCCATAGGCTTGTATGGCCAGTTTCTTACAGTTGGGAGCTGTTTGGGGTACAACAACATGAACAGGGATTCCTGGGTGGGGAGAACAGAGTTTAGGATAGAAACTCCTTGCAAGATTCAATGCCCACAGCTATCGGCTCTCACTGATGATCCTACCCAGGGGCCTGACAGATGAGTCGGATACCTTCCAGTTTGGCAGCATAGGTGAGAGCCTGGCCATGGTTCCCACTGCTGTGAGTCACGACTGCTTTAGGCTTTCCTTCCGAGGTGGCAGCAATCAAGCCTCGGACAGCGTTCAGAGCACCACGAATCTGCAAGAGGAGACGCGGTAAGCCCCTGATGTCACGCATTTCGTCACAGCAGTGACATGTTCTGAAAAATGCAATTGTTGGACACTTGGCAAATATCAGATACAGCATACTTACAGATGGTATGGTTTATGGCTCCTAGGCTACAAATCCACCCAGCATGCTTCTGTGCTTAATATTGTAGCTCCAACCCAAGGGGAAGTACTTGTGTATCTCCACATGGAAAACGTACAGCGTAAATGCAGTAGAAAGAAAAGAACCGGTAGACGTGGCTAGGGCACTTGCCTCAAATGAATGTTTACAGGACTATGGGTTGTTCCAGGCAAGTCAGTGAGTGCTCATGAAGGCCTCACACATTACCGTGCACTACTGGAGACTTCATAAACACTACTCTTACTCTACACAGAATTTATAAAATTTTCCTTCAAAAAATTAACCTTGCTCAACTGTAACATACTAGTTTAGTAACTGTTTTTAATTTAATTTTTATTAGTCAGATATAGAGGAGGAGAAGAGATAGAAGAGCTTCTGTCTACTGAATGACTCCCCAAGTAGCCGCAATGGCCAGAGCTGCACCAATCTGAAGCCTGGAGTCTTTTTTTGGGTCTCCCATGTGGGTGCAGGGTCTCAAGGCTTTGGGCCCATCTTTGAGTGCCTTCCCAGGCCACAAGCATAGAGCTGGATGGAAAGCGGGACTACCAGGATTAGAACTGGTGCCCATATGGGATCTCTGTGCATTCGAGGCAAGGACTTTTAGCCACTAGGCTACCGTGCCAGACCTAACACTTCTTTTTTTTAAAGGGTATATTTGAAAGACTTCATGCCACTCTAAAACTAATGGTCAATCAATACTCAGAAGATTCATAACAAGTTAACAAGAGAAGACAAATCTTTTTCACTTAAAATTTTCTTAAGGTTTGAGAAACCCACATTGTAGTGTAGTGGGCAAAGCAGTCTCCTGAGGTGCTGGTTCATGTTTCAGCTGCTGCATTTCTGCTGCACTAGCTCCTTGATAATGGCTTTGGCAAAACAACAGAAGATGGCTCAAGTGCTGGGGTATCTGCCACTGCACTGTGATAGAGTTCTTGGCTTTGGTTTGGTCTTCAGCCCTGGCTGTTGTGGCCACCTGATAAGTGGGCCAAAGGATGGAAGATCTGTCTTTCCTGTCATTCTTTCAAGATAAGTAAATACATTAGAATAATAATAAGAAAGCAGAGGTGGGCACAGAGATCTTCCATCTATGTTGATTCACTTCCCAGATGGTTCAAGAGTCAGGAATTCCATCCTGCTCTTTCCACATAGGTAGCAGAGGCTCAAATCCTTGGGCTACCTTTCAATGCCTTCCCAGTGTGTTAGCTCAAAGCTCAATTGGAAGTGAAATAGCTGGGACTACAACTAGGTTTGCATTGCAGTGGTCGCTTAATCCATTGTGCTACAATGTTGACCCCTTAACGTATAACTTCTTAAAACATTTACTTATTTTCACTTTATTTGAAAAGCAAGGAAACAGGTGGTAATCTTTCTATCTGCTGGTCTATTCCCCAAATGCTTACAACAGCCAGGGCCACACTTAAGCCAGGAGCCCAAACCCATTCTGGGTCTTCATGCAGGTGACAGTGACAAATACCTGAGTATCACAGCTGCCTCTCTCATAATAGGGAGTTGGAAACAGGGCTCCAACTTGAATCCCAGCATTGTGATACAGGATATGGGCGTCCCAAGTGGGGACCTAGTCACTATCATGCCTGTCCCTTAAATTTTTATTTGAAAAGCAGAGACAGGCAAATTTCCTGTTCTGTGTCCTGGAGTTCAGGCATCCCAAGCAGTGACTTAACTACTGCACCAAGTGCTTTCCCTTAATTTACCATCTTAACTACTTTTGAAAAGCAGTACGTATTTTTTTTAAAGATTTATTTGTATTTTATTTGAAACACAGGTTTGGGCCCACTGCAGTAGGCTTGTGGCTAAAGTCCTTGCCTTGCATGTTCTGGGATCCATTTGGGATCTGGTTCTAATTGCGGCTGCTCCACTTCCCATCCAGCTCCCTGCTTGGGGCTTGGGAAAGCAGTTGAGGACAGCCCAAAGCCTTGAGACCCAGAAGAAGCTCCTGGCTCTTGGCTTCAGATCAGCTCAGGTCCAGCCATTGTGGCCACCTGAGGAGTGAACCAGCAGATGAAGATCTTTCTTTACTTCTCTGTAAATCTGACTTTCCAATAAAACTAAATCTTAACAAAAACAACAAACAAACAAAACAAGATTTATTTCCTGTTTCACTTCCCAAATGCCCATAATAGTTGGAGCTGGTCCATGCCAATGACAGGAACTCATTCTGGGCATCCCATGCAGTTGGTGGCGACTCCAATATTTGAGCTGTCATTTGCTGTGCGTTAGCAGGAAGCTAGAATCAGAACTTGCATCAGGACTTGAACCCAGCTGCAGTACTGGGATGTGGGCATCTCAAATGAGGTGTCCGCGTACTGTGTCAAATACCCAGCCTGTCTTAACCATTCAAAAGAGGCAGGTAAGCGTAGAGACCCATGTGCTGGTTCATTCTCCATAAGCCTGCAGTTCCCGGGCTAGGGCAGGCTAAGTCAGGAGCTCAGAGTTCAATCCAGGCCTCCCACAGAGAGCCTGTAGGGTACACCTTAACAGGAAGCTAGAGTCCGGCAGAGCCAGGGCTGGAACTCAGGTACTCTGGTAGGAGATGTGGGTCTCCCAAGGGGTACTTTCACCACCTACTAGTTAGCAGTGACATATTTTGTAGAAAAGGGTCTTAACTATTATCAGACCTTTCATATTCAGAAGATATCAGGGTATGGGAAGGTGAAAGAAAACCAGTGCTTCAGACATCTAATCACACTTCCCATGTTACTCGCAACAGTCTGGGTTGATGTTTCTTGTCTCAATTGTCAGACATTTCCCCTTGGAATCTCAAACATGTTTGAACAAGAGTTTGGGTGATAGATACATATACTTATGTAAATTACCTGGACAATAAATTATATGACTTGTTAATAAGGTATTTTCAGGTTATCGAACAGTGGCTTATCAACACTATGATGCTAGGTAACCAGAACTCAAAAAGGAAAATTTCTGCAGCTGTTTTTGAAAACATACATGGGGGCAAGGAGACCAGCTCAATGGCTCAACTGGCTAATCTTCCACCTCCAAATGCTGACATCCTATTTGGGCACCAGTTTGTGCCCTGGTGGCTCTACTGCCCATCCACTCCCTGCTTGTGGCCTGGGAAACCAGCTGGTAGGTTGGCCTAAGGCCTTGGGACCCTACACGCGCATGGGAGATTGGGAGATCAGGAAGAAGCTGCTGGCTGCTGCTGGCTTTAGACAGGTTCAGTTGTGGCCATCTGGCACATGAACCAGCAGATGGAACATATCTTTCTGCCTCTTTGTAAATCTGCCCATCTAATGAAAATAAAAAAATTTTTTAAAGTAAGAAAAAATAAAACGTACATGATATACTAGCAGAAAAAAATTGTTACCTTAAAAGATCCAGTTTTCTGAAAGAGTTCACATTTGAAGAAAAGATTTCGCCCCGTTGCTTGATTGAAAATGGAGCTTGTCAGCACCGGTGTGAGGTGGATAACATCTTGGATGTTGGTATGGGCTTGTTCAACATCAGCAAAGGAGATGCAGTACTGAGCACACATAGTTCTGAAACCCAGGAAGAAGAAAAGGGCCAGAGCAAACTCTGAGACGGTGTGTTTATGGATAATTTTTGAAAATGTGTAACACAAAGAGACGAGGTTGGAGCATTGTACCTAATTGTCTCCATTACTAGCAAGCCAGAATTTCAATGGAGAAGGGGACTTCAAGTGGAACTAAATTTTCCTGGTGAAGCTTTATAGGAACTGAAGGTACTAATAGAAAGCTAAGCCCTCTCCTTTCCCTAATAGCATCCATTGCGAGCACTCTACCTTGCTTTTCATCATTGTCGTGAAGGTACTTGAATATACTCAGTTCAAAATATGATTTAAATTTTAATTTAAAAAGCAATATAAAAAATAAAGTTAATAAATGCCTATAACCCATTTTAATAAATGATGTAAATTTTGTTTCCTTCCAGGTTTTTAATATACATATATTAAAAAGCAAAAACTAAGAAATGTATAATTACAAGATGATTGAGGTGAAACGATTTTTTTGTTACTGCTCCATTTAGTTGCCATGTTTACTGTAGCCTTTAAACATTGTTTCTCTTTTTCTTTATTAGTAAAAGTTATCCATGTTCACTAGAGACAATTTAATCTAAAAATAGACATGTGAAAACCACTAAACTTTGCTTCATAAATACAGTTGCTTTATAACCTCTGGTAGTTTTTCTTGTCCTGGTAATATCTATATATAGTCCTGGTAAGAAATTTTTATACGTATGCAGAAAAATTTTTTGACAAATTTTATTTATTCAAACAATGTTATTTGCATATCACTAGATAAGAATATATTGATTATATCACATATATTTATGCAATTCTTAAAATGGCTTAATGCCATGACTTTAATTTTACACAACTCCACTGAATATTTACTTATTTTTTTGCTATAATACTAATGTAATGAACATCATTGTGGGAAGACTTTTGTGCATCTCTACACATCAGTGGCAAGCATGCATGCTTCTAAGAGAGTTAACACCCACTGCTGAACTGACTTCCAAAGGCTGTAGATTGCATCATACTTCAACAGCAGTTCCTAAGGAATGTCCGTTTCACCCTTAACCTTACTTTAATGTCAACTTAACTAAATGTCCAGACATTTTAATTAACAGGAATAAAACATTTTTCCTGTATATTCTTTGGTCTCTTATTCTTTTGTGATTCTTTAATGTGCCATTATTGACTGAATCATCTTTTGCCTCTGAAATGCCATGTTTATCAAAAAAATTAAGTCCCTATTAATGTTTACGGTTTTGTATTCTGTTGTACTGATTGGACTTACCAATTCATTTTCTAGTTGGCCATTATATTAGAAAATTTCTCTTTGACTTTTTCTAAAAGTTGTTGGCTTTGAGCAAACCTTATAATTTCTTGCAAGGGCTCCAGAAAATGCACTTTAAAATACATAAATTAATTGGGACATAATTGACGTTTAAAACTTTAGTTTTTCCATGAAAGGTGACATTTTTCGAATTTAGAATCCTGTTATTGTGATTTGTATTTTGTATATATTTGATTAAATTTAGCCCTAAACATAGTTTGTTTTTGTTGCATCTGGAAAAAGGCATTTTTCCCATTAGATTCTAAAATAACTGATAACCTAAATGAAAGCTATTGATTTTGTAGGCTTATCACATGACATTTTTTTAGATTATCTTATTATCTTTTTAGGTCTCATATCTATAGTTGATCCTGTGTACCCCTTTAGAAAAAAATTCTATGTGCAAATACAGAAAATTTGTGGTTACCTTACATAAACACCTCTGATAAGTTTTTCATTGACTTCACAGTTACTAGTTTATTTAGATTTATCACCTTTTCTTAATTTCAATAATTTCTACTTTTTGGCAAAGAAAGCTTAAATATTGTATTTGTTAGTTCAAAGTTGGATATGTTAGCAGTAATCTAAAATCACCTGCATATATGATCTAGTTATTGTTTTATTCATTCAGTCAATAAGTATTGAGCACTTTTATGTGTCAGATATTATGGGGTCTAGAGAGGATGTTAGAAGGACCAATTTGTCCTACCCCAACTTATGATCATTGTCATGAATCTCTCATTTTGTGATATTAATATCCCTATTTTCAAGAAAAATTAGTATATGTGTGCATGTGTATAATATCTACATGTGAAGTGAATATGGTAAAATATTACATTTTTTAAATCATAAAACTAAATTTATTTGGTCCCAGCATGGTAGCCTATGGCTGAAGTCCTCGCCTGGCATATGGCAGGATCCCATATGGCTGCCAGTTCTAATCCTGGGGGCCCTGCTTCCCATCCAGCTCCCTGCTTGTGGCCTGGGAAAGCAGTTGAAGCCTTCCAAGGCCTTGGGACCCTGCACCCATGTGGGAGTCCCAGAAGAGACTCCTGGCTCTGGATAGGTTCAGTTCTGGCCGTTGTTGTCACTTTGGGAGTGCACCAGTAGATGGAAGACCTTCTTCTCTGTCTTTCCTCCTCTCTGTATATATGACTTTGCAATAAAAAAATAAATAAGAAAATTAGATTAATTTAAAAATGAAAATAGACATGTTCTTGCCCTCATACACCTTACAATCCAGTGGAGATGTGTAATAAGTAGTGCAAAAATAAGCACATGCTTGCAAAGTTTGATGGTTGCTTTGCTATGACAGCTGCTCAAGGGGCAGGGACAGTTTAGATCAGGGACAAAGGTTGATGAAAGGCCTCCAGTGAGAAATAAAATGTAAGTAATGACTCAGAGAATGAATGGCTTTTATTCAGGTAGAGAGAAAAGTATTTCAGGCAGTTGGAAACACATGTAAGCCTTTAAGAAAGGACAAGATGCCCAATGTTTCTGAGAATAATGATCAAAGGAGAGTGTGAGATGAGTGCATGGTGAGAAAAGTGATGATAGCAAGGTCCTGACAGTTTAGGACTTTAACTCATGGATGTATTTTTTCCTTATGAGTAATAGAATGTCACGTAAAAAAATTCCCATTTTTAGAAAATCATTCTGGCTACGTGGTGCTGAATGCAAAGGGGACCAGGGTAGAATTGGGGGGTACAACTAAGAAGCTTCAGTCATCCCCTTAAAAGCAAAGGAAGGAATGGAAGAAAAAGTGGAGACTAGGAAAAAAAAATAGTGCAGGATACATTTTAGAAACAGAAATAGTTTAAAAATGGACAAAAGACTGGATAAAATTTTCTCCAAAGATACACATGCCCAACAACCACATAAAAAATATTCAATATCACTGATCATTGGCATACTATTTCAAGGGGCTGACATCATGTGTAATACGTTAAGCTTCTGCCAGTGGTGCCAGTGCCCATGCTGGTTTGAGACATGGTTGCTCCACTTCTGATCTAGTGCCCTGCTAGTGTGCCTGGCGAAGCTGCAGATGATGGCCCAGCTGTTTGGATCCCTGCACCCACTTGGGAGACCCAGAAGAAGCTCTAGGCTTCTGGCTTTGTACCAGCTCAGCTCTGGCCATTGTGCTCATTGCCAACAGTGAGTCAGCAGATGGAGGATTTCTAACTCTATATCTATGTAAAATTTGACTTTCAAATAAAGTAAATAAAGCTTAAAAAATATATCAACTATTTTTTTAAAAGAAATACTAATTCACAGTAATGAATATACCTACAGTAGAAAACCCAATAGACCAGTGTGTGCCATAGCTGGTGAAACCTCCACCTGCAATGCCAGCATCCCATATGGACATCAGTTCCAGTCCCAGGTGCTCCACTTCTGATCTAGCTCCCTGTTAATTGGCATTGGAAAGCAGTAGAAGCTGGCCCAAGTGCTTGGGACCCTGTACCCATGTTGGAAGCTGGGAAGAAGCTCCAGGTTCCCGGCTTTGGCCTGGCCCAGCTCTGACGATTGTAATATGGGGAGTGAACCACAAAGATCTCTCTTTCTTCCTCTCTCTGCAACTCTGTCAAATAAAATAAAAATAAAATAAAATAAAACTATTGACCTTTCAGGATGTGCAGAAACTGGAATCCCCATGCACTGCTGGTACAAATGCAAAATGGTACAGCTGCTCTAGTAAATAGTACGGTGATTCTCCATAATGGTCAATATAACATTACTGTTCAATCCAGAAATTTCACTCCTGAATATAGACTTAAAAGAACGGAGGGCAGAGCCTCAAAGACTGGTTTTACAACTGCATTCTTGGCTAAATAATTCACAGCCAAAGGTGGAAGTGTCCATTGACAGATGACCAGACATCATGTCATGTACCCATCAAGGAATATTATTCAGCTCTACAAAGGAGGAGATTTTGACACGTGCTGTATTTTCACGAATGAACAGTGAGGACATCATGCCAACTGAAATAAGCCAGTAACAAAAGACAAATGTTGTGTGATTCTAGTTATTTAAGTAATCACATTCATAGACAGAAGTGTAAGTGCCAGGGACTGGCGAACTGTTGTTTAACTGGTAGAGCATTCTGCAGATTGCCTGCACATTCATGTCACTGTATTTAACATTTATAGTTATAGTCATAGTAGTCATAGAAGCGATTACATGGGAAACTATGTATTTTACCAATTATTTTTAAACTCACTACCATCAAAAAGAGAGATTATAATAGGCCTCTTGGTTGCCAACTCCCATCATTTGAACTAGTTTATGAGGCTGACAGGATTTACTCGCTCTAGGTATTCAAGGAAGGGCTGAACAAAACCACAGGAAGGGTACGAGTATGGAGCTTCAGGAACAGTGGGGACCAGGGGCTTGGGGGTGTTCAGGGCTGTTTCTCACCTCGGCTGCCTTCTGCATGTCGGCTTCTTTTCCACTGCATATCAGCTGGCTCCATAGGGCAGGACCCGTGACTGCGGACAGCTCCTGTGCTTTAGGCTCTATGCGCTTCCACACTGCAGAGCAACTTTCTTTCTCTTAGTTTGAATTTAAAAAAAAATTCTGAGTAAGGGCTCTGACTGCTCCATCTTAGCCTAGAATCACTGGCCAAAGGGATGAAGTCACGGAAGACAATATGCAAAGGTCAGAAGTATTGACAGTAACATGAAGTGTGTGGTTAGCTTGGGTTAGAAGCTGGTTTCCAAGTCCCATATTGAGGTGTCTGGGTATAATATAATCTGGCTCTGTCTTCTGGCTTCAAAGTCCTGCTAATGGAGACCCTGGCCAGCAACAGTGATGGCTCAAATAATGGAATCCCTGCTGTCCAAGTGGGAGACATGGATTGCCTTCAGGCCCAGGTCAGTCCTGGACATTTGGGAAGTGAACCAGTAGATTGGCAGGTGCTGTGTCTTTCCCCCACCACCTGGCCCAAAAGAAACAGAATGAGATCTACACCACTATAAGAGTTATTTACATTTAAAATACATACATGAAACATTAAACAGTAGTACACCAAAAGGTTTGTGGAAAATAGAATTAAAAGACAAAGGTCTTTTAGGAAAAATTTAAATCTATGGACACAAGGACTCTTATAAAACTTTAGCAACAAACTGTACTGTGAGAAAACTATACATGAACTTCTAAATATTTCATACTATCTTGTAATTCTATTTTCCAGGAATACTGTGAAGTAATCTCCTATTATTCACTGATACACAAATACATTCAAGGACACATATCAAACAGACCAGAGTCACTAAGGGCACAGGGATGGAATGTGAGTGGGAATTGGAACAAAGAACAGAAAGATAAAATGGGGCACTGGGAAAGCAGCTGATGGCTTAAGTTGCTGCCTGGAATGCTAGCATTCCTTATAGGCAGCAGTTAGAGTCTTGGTTAATCCACTTTCGATCCAGCTCCCTGCAAATGTGCCTGGGAAAGCAGCTGATGGCCAAAGTGCTTGGCAACACCACCGTCACCCACACGTAGGAGGCCGAGATGGAGATCTGAGCTCCTGGCTTCATTGTGACCCAACCTCGGCTATTGAACCAGTTTGTGGAGTAAAGCAGTAGATGGCGGAACTCTCTATCTCTCCTTCTCTCTGCAGTTGTGCCTTTCACACAAATAAATGAAATGAAAGGTCCTGCTACGAACAAAATAATGTGACTAGCTCAATTGTCTGCATCTGAGCAAAAAATGGCAACAAAAGAAGGGAATGATGGAGGAAAAAAAATGAAAGAAAAGGGAAAAAATATACTCCTGAATAGGAGTGAACGTTTTTAACAGAAAAGGGGGGAAATGTTGGGGAGAAGATTCGATATATCCTCATTGCAGATTTAGAAGAGACATACACTGTCAGTGGACTAACAGGGACATGGAGGTGTCAAGAATATTGCCAGTATTTTTACCTAGATTCAATAAATCAAGTTTGAATTGCTTAGGAGACATTCAAGAGAATACGTAATTTCCTTTTTTTTTTTTTTTGCCAAAAACATCTTATTTCTGCACAATAAACTTCTCCTTTTATTTATCAAGTACTATTTATTTTTTAAGGTAATTAATTTTTCTTTTACATAAACATACCTAAAGTTAGACTGTCCTATAATTTGTGTTTGAAAGACATTGTGTGGATTTTGTTATGAATATTTTCATTATCTTAATTTCTAAAATAATCCATGATCTTAGCCTAATCTTGTTTTTGCTTTACAAGTGGTTTAAAATTGGCATTAAAAATGTGATTATAAGAATTTTTTTTGCTTAATTTGTAGTTATTCATTTCTATTTATTGTGTCTCAGTGACTGTGACCTATGCAATTTTTAGTTTCAGAACTTGAATTCCTCCATCCCCTCTACCCAAATCTGCTTTAGTATTATTGATTTCCTCATATAATGTGACCAATCCCTAGTTTAAGAATTTAAAACATGACAGAACTTTCAGTCTCTACTACCAAATCCTTTCTTTTCTACACAGGCAGCCACTTTCCAAAATTTTGAATGTATATTCTGCATCTTTTTTTAGATGCATTTATACAGAATTCACATAGACCATAACTGGTTTTGCTACACATAGAATCATATTATATATATTGTTCCACAGGTGGCTTTTTAAGGAAAAAGCGTTAAATGGATCTTGAAGACTGTTCCATTTCAATACCTAAACACATTTTGTTTTTAAACTCATAAGCTTTCATTGTGGTGCATTTCCTTATCTGGTATTTTATGAGCTGCCTCATGAAATCTGAGAATTCTGACTCTTCCATCCACTTAGTAAAAATTCCTCAATTTGACTATTACCAGTTTCTGCACCTGTTCTCCATGTCTCCCATTGTTTCTCTGTTTTTATGTATTAATTTCTCCCCGAGTTCTGTAAATATTCTTGAACTGGTTTAAACTGTTAGCATATCTAATCTGCAGGTCCCGAACAATGTTGCACTAAATCCACAATCCCATTTGTTCTAATTTATCTGTTTTTCCATTGTTCTTCCATCATTTTTTTCTTAAAACGATGCAATATTCTCCCAAATTTCCATGTCAACAAGAATTAATGTTTAGCACTTCTGGCTCTAGCTACCCCAGTCCCTTCCCCCTTCCTTTGCAACTGCCGAATCCCTTATTTAACCTGTTGGTGGCTAAGCGTCACCTCACTCGAGTACAAAGCGTTCAGGTTCCTCAAATCTTGCAGGCTCCAGCTTAAGCACAATTAGTAACTGTTCTCCGATAGTTTCCAGTCCCTGAAGATTGGGTGGAGCAGTGCCGGAGTAACAGCGAGACATTGTAACAATTCAGGGACTAAAAGGGTTACAGTATCGCCAGTTCCAGTCTGGTTAAAGACGCGGGGGTAAAAAAAAAAGTATCCACTGGAACCCGGGGAGCGGCGGGAGACAAGGGGACAGTTTTTTTCCCAAGAATTCACACGGATACAGAAATTCCCAAGGTGCCTTCACTGTACTTTCTCCTCCTCCTCCACATAATCCCTTCCCCCAGCCGAGCCCACGATGTATTCTGTCTATTTTAAAAATCAGGAGATGTGGAATGAGTGTGGTTTGCCATAAAGAAAATAGCTTTGGCTACCCCGGGACCATCAGCTGTGCCACAATGGGGCAACTGCTTTCACTCAGTTCTCGGGGAATCCGTTCTTTAATTTTACAAATGAGAATAAATACTGGATTTTTAAGCTTCACCCTCCGCCCCGAAAGCTTGCACCTGTCCCGGCCTGTGTGCGGCGCGAGATCGTGGCCTAGGATGGCTACAGGAGGCCAGATTGTGGGTGTCTGCGTTTACCTCAGCCCAGATCATCACCCGTGTCCTCGGGAGCGGGCGTGACCACCTCAGCCTCCCTGCACGCCCGGCCTCCGCTCACCTCACCGGCGCCGCACCTCCACCTCCGGCTGCAGCACACCTGCCCCGGCCAGCACACCTCTGCGCACGCGCAGCGCCCGCCCCCGGCCGCCCCGCTCGCGCTCGGGCGAGGCTCCTACCGGAACGTGCACTCGGTGCTTTTCTCCCAGCGCGGCCACCGTCGTTCGGGGAGGGCAGGGAAGGCCGCGAGGGGGCGGGGACAGGGGTGGGAGTGGGAGAGCGCGCGCGCCCGCCCGTCGTGGTTTCCTGGCTGCGCGCGCGGCGCTGGCGGAGGAGCTGCAGCTGGAGCCGCAGCCGCGAAGATGGCGGAGGGCTTGGAGCGTGTGAGGATCTCGGCGTCCGAGCTCAGGGGCATCCTGGCCACTCTGGCTCCGCAGGCCGGGAGCAGAGGTGAGTCGCGCCGCCCAGCTCCTGGGCCGGGCCTGCCCGCCCCGCCTCCCTCTCCTCCTCCCTGCTCCATGTCCGCCGCGCCCGGGAGCCCCCGCCCCTTCCCCCAACCGCGGGGGCGGGGGCCGCCGGACCAGCTCCGGGGCGCCCGGCGGGCCAGGGGCGCCCCCCGCCTGCTGGGAGAGCCGAGTGCCCGAGTGGTCCCTCCACACGCCCCCCCCGTCCCCTACCCCCTGACCCTCCCAGTGGTCAGGAGACGCGGAAAGGATGCCTGGTGGGGTACGGCAGGCCCCCCTCACTGGTGTTTCCTTCCCTAAGGGATCGCCCGCTGGCCGTTGTGAAGGGACTGGGGGGCACTGATTGAAGAGAAAAGGTCTTCCAGCCCGGGACTTCCTCGCTGAACTTTTCCCCTCTTCCACGGCCGGCTCCTGAAAGCTGCGCCACTGGAGGGGTGACGCTACGTTGCTTTGGCCTTGGCATGTGTGGGAGCAGTTTTTAATCCGAGGGGAATGCTCCTTTTGCAAGTTTAGAAGTCTCCAGACACATCAGGGAAACGTCAAGAAAGATTACAGTGTCTCATGTCTCCTTTGTTCCGTGTGGAGTTGGGTAGTGGCTGCAGTCTGGGAAGTTGTTAGTGCACTGACTTAGGTCACTCAGGCTGGGTGACTGCTCTACTGGGAAAGAAGTAGTAGCTCTACTCGCAGCTCCTCCCTCCCCGACTTAGGAAAATACCAGAGTGAGCTCTTCCAGGCTTAAATTGCTAGATTTGTGTTCATACTTAATGAACACACATTTAAACTGAGAATTTCCCTGCCGTTTCTTAAGCTTAAACCCGTTGATTTTTTTTCCTAGCTTTTTTCCCCAAGATTTATTTATTTTTATTGGAAAGGCAGATCAAATTTATTGAGAGAAGGAGAAACAGAAAAATCGTCCCAGCACGATGGCCTAGTGGCTAAAGTCTTCACCGTGCATCCACCTGGATCCCATATGGATGCCGGTTTGTGTCCCAGATGCTGCACTTCCACTCCAGCTCCCTGCTCATGGCATGGGAAAGCAGTTGGATGGGCCAAGGCCTTGGGACCCTGCACCCACATGGGGAAGAAGCTCCTGGCTTTGGGATAGGCTCAACTCTGGCTATTGCAGCCACTTGAGTGAACCAGCGGACAGAAGATCTTTCTGTGTCTTCTCTCTGTAAATCTGACTTTACAACAGCAACAAAACCCTTAAAAAAAAATAAAAGACATCTTCCATCCGCTGGTTCACTCTCCAGATGGCCACAATGGCCAGAGCTGAGCCAATCTCAAGCCAGGAACCTCTTCCAATCTCCCACGTGGGTGCAGGGTCCCAACACTTTGGCCTATCCTCGACTGCTTTCCCAGGCCACAAGCAGGGAGCTGGATGGGAAGTGGAGAATCTGGGACACGAACCAACATCTCTGGCGCAAGGTGAGGATTTAGCCATTGAGCTATTGCACAAGGCCCTTTTTTTTAGCTTTTTAACTTTTTTCTATTTTGTTACACCCATTTGTAGGTATAAATGCAGTAGCGGGTCATCCTTTTCTAGACTTGTTTGCCATTGTATTTGTAAAACAGTGCAGTTCTGAGATTTCATGTAACGTTACATATTGAGTTCTTAGTGATGCCTGTCACTTTGTCCCTGAAGTATTTGGAGGCACACGTATAGTCTTCTTCTCGGAAGATAAACAGGTGCTCAGAAGAGATGGAGTCCTGCCTGGGGTTCTCCATGGTTTCTGAATTATTTTTCTTGAACAGGCTTTTTTTCTGGAACTTTTTCTTCCTCATAGGTTATCATCGCGTTAGCAGGTAAACCTGGTGTTCTGGAGTGACAGTCTGAGCTGTATTTCCTTGAAGTGGCTCGGCTGGTTACCATGAGAGATTTGGGGAGATGAGTGGGAAGGAGCTACTTCCTGTCTGCTTCCATAGGGGCTCTGGTGTCCTAGAGAAGACAATTATCATGGTCAGGTTCAGAGTTTGGAATTGCCTTCCTATCACCCCATCAGGGATGTTCAGGACTGTGGACTGTTCATATATTCTTTTTCTTCTACCCTCCTCACTGGTAGGTTAAAAGGACTGAGCCACCCAAGAAAAATGTTCAAGGTGAAAGACTAACATGTCTGTAGTGAGAAAATTGTCTAATGCTGGGTATCTTAGACTGTTTGTTTGTTGTTTAGGATTTATTTATTTTCATTTGAAAGACAAACTTCAGAGGGAAGGAGAGATAGAGAAGGGCTTCCATCCGCTTGTTTTCTCCCCACAGTTGAGCTGATCTGAAGCTGGGAGCCAGGAGCTTCTTCTGGGTTTCCCATGTGGGTACAGGGTCCCCAAGATTTAAGCCATCTTCTGCTGCTTTTCCAGGCCATAAACAGGTGGATGGGAAGTGGAGCAGCTGGGACATCAATAGTACCTCTATGGGATGCTGGCGCTTGCAGGTGGAGCTGTAGCACTGTGCCAGCCCCTCCCTACCCTTAATCCTGCCCCATTAGAGATTTTTATTCTGATAATAATGAAGTAACTTGGAGTTTTAGGAATCAGAAGGTGACTTGAGTAACCCAAGAGTATATGGGCTTTTTCCCCTGTTTTGCTCATCCATATATATTTAGCTATAACCCAGTTAAATTCTTAGTCTTGTCAGGTCCTAAAGAAATGTTACAAACCCAGAATTTTGGTATCTGAAGAAACGTCCTTATCTGCTATAGTGTTAGGATTTTGGATTTGTAGTACTTGCTTGCCTTTGTGTTTTTTATTCAGAATGACAATATTTTCCCTTCCCTCCTTTATTTCTCCTCAACCTTCTCGCCAACTAACAGAAAACATAAAGGAGTTAAAGGAGCCCAGGCCACGCAAAGATAACAGGCGCCCGGATCTGGAAATCTATAAGCCTGGTCTTTCTCGACTCAGAAACAGACCTAAAATCAAGGAACCCTCTGGGAGTGAGGAACTCAAGGATGAAACTGTGAACGACCGAATTTCTTCTGCTGTTGGGAGTGGCACACAGATCGTGAAAGATATCAGCAAAGAACCGGACAGCCAGCAGCAAAATGGCCCGACAGACCCAGAAAACCACCGGGCACAGCAGTCCTCCCCTCGGACTGTTGGACAAGAGGATCGAAGTGTAAAGATTATCAAGAGAACGAAGAAACCGGACCTGCAGATCTATCAGCCTGGGCGGCGTTTGCAAATGATTTCCAAAGAATCGGCCAGCCGGGCGGATGAAGAAGAGATGCTCAGCCAGGTCGAACAGCTGAGAGTGGAGGAAGACGACGGTCGGGGCAAGCTCGCGAAAGAGGAAACCGTAAATAAGTCAGAGAAAACGGAGACAGAGAAAAGCCTGAGTAGTGACAGAGTGAGGACTGCGAAGGGAGAAAAAGTCAAGAGGGTTGACAAAGGGGAGGGCATGAAGAAAGTGACGGACGATGGGGTCCTGGGGAAGCCCGGCTCTGCGAAGCGCTACTCGCGCTCGGACAAGCGGAGGAACCGTTACCGCACCTGCAGTACCAGCTCTGCGGGCAGCAACAACAGCGCCGAGGGAGCGGGTCTGACCGAAGGCAATGGCTGCCGTCGGCGCCGGCAGGATAGGACCAAGGAGAGGCCTCGACTGAAGAAGCAGGTGTCTATGTCCTCCACGGACTCCTTAGACGAGGACAAACTTGACGAGCCTGATGGGTTAGGGTCCAGGAAGAGTTCCGAAAGGAAGAAACATTTTGAAAGAGATTGGTCTGGCCCTGGGGAGGGCGAACAGAAAAGCAATGGTAAAGAAAATCGGGGCACTCTTCATGTCACTTTTGATGCAGAAATCATGAACAAAGACTCCCTGCCGGATGTGGATAGGGTGAAGCCCGACAGAGGCTCGAACCCTGGGAGCAAAGGCTCTGAGAAGCAGGAGTCCAAAAACCTGAAGCAAGAGCTCCGGGGCCGGGGGCGCGGCATTTTGATTCTGCCGGCTCACACCACCCTTTCTGTCAGTTCGACGGGCTCTCCGGAGTCCACGCCTCTGGGACCTCGGCTTTTGTTTGGATCCGGTAGTAAGGGGTCTCGAAGTTGGGGCCGCGGAGGGACGACCCGTCGACTGTGGGACCCAAATAACCCCGATCAGAAACCAGCTCTAAAGAGCCAGACGGCACAGCTACACTTCTTGGACACTGATGATGAAATCAGCCCCACGTCCTGGACTGACTCCCGCCAGGCCCAAGCCTCTTACTATAAGTTTCAAAATTCTGACAACCCTTACTATTACCCCCGGACACCAGGCCCTGCCTCCCAGTATCCGTACACAGGCTACAGCCCCTTGCAGTACCCAATGGGCCCTGCCAATGGTGTGTACCCAGGGCCTTACTACCCGGGCTACCCAACTCCGTCGGGGCAGTATGTCTGTAGCCCGGTCCCTGCCAGCACACTGAGCCCCGAGGAGCTAGAGCAGCACATGAGGAACATTCAGCAGCAGGAGCTGCACAGGCTTCTCCGGGTGGCTGATAACCAGGAGCTGCAGCTCAGCAACCTGCTCTCCAGGGACCGGATCAGTCCCGAGGGTCTGGACAAGATGGCTCAGCTCAGGTATGGCCGGAAGGGGGTGGGTGTGGGCTAGGGTGTACAGACTGCTGGGACCGTTGATGGTCCGAACTTACGGGGTACGCCCTTGAGTGTTATTGCCCTTTCATGTTATTGTTGCTTTTTTAAGGGAAGAACAGTTAGAAAATTAATGTTTATAGTCTTAGAAATGATTATGCTTCCTACTACTACTTTAAGAAAAGAAAAAAGTCTTTGAGGGAATATGGAATCTTGAAATAGAAAAGGGAAGACTTTCCAGAAATGAATAGCATTTAGCTTGCAGTGCAGATCTTTTTTCAATCTGTTAAATTTAGGTGGAGGCATATGGGGAAAACCTATTTTTCTCAACATAAACTATCTTTAAAAATCACATTTTGCTGTGCAGAATGAATACTGGTATGAGTAGTATACCTGGTCACATTTTGAACGTCTTGCCAGAGGAGGTGGTTAATTTAGAGGAAACTCAGATTCTGGGTCTAGCTTCTCCCTGCGGATGTGTCTGGGACTAGAAGTTGTGTATATTTTATTTCAGAGCTGAACTCCTGCAGCTGTATGAACGCTGTCTTCTGTTAGATATCGAATTCTCTGATAATCAGAATGTGGATCAAATCCTGTGGAAGAATGCTTTTTACCAGGTGATTGAGAAGTTCAGGCAACTTCTCAAGGATCCAAATGTTGAGAATCCAGAACAGATTCGGAACAGACTTTTGGAGCTCTTAGATGAGGTAAATTATCATGTTTTTGTTTCCAGGATATTGGTTTTAGCATCACTTAGTAATTGTAATGGGCTTTTACCATCTGAAGTACTATGTTTCAGAACGTAACACTGACAAAAACTTCATAATCTTTTCCTTGGGTTTCCTTGGGTAGGCATTCTCCTACCACTGTTGCTGCCTTGGGGCTGTAAAGCTTTTGCACGTTTTACTTTTATTTTTTTGAAGGGCAGAATTATGGTGAGAATGAGCAGAGGAGAGCGAGCGAGCGAGCAGTATTTTCCATTCCCTGGTTCATTCCCCAAATGGCCACAACAGTTAGGGCTGGGTCAGGCTGAAGCCAGGAGCCGGGGGCGTCTTCTGAATCTGTCATGTGGGTGCAGGGGCCCAAACACTTGAGCCATTCTCCATAGCTTTCTTAGGTGTATTAACAGGGAGCTGGATTGGAAGGGGGGCGGGGCAAATTGGAACCGACTGACACCCATATGGGATGCTGGTGCTACAAACAACGGCTTAATATGCTGTGCTGCAATACAGTCCTGGGAAGTCTTTGAAAGCAGGGAAAAGGGCCCAGTGCAATGTCTCAATTGGCTGATTCTCCCCTAGGATTCCACGTGGGTGCCAGTTCGTCAGTTCGTGTCCCGGCTGCTCTACTTCCCATCCAGCTCCCTGCCTGTGGCCTGGGAAAGCAGTCGAGGACGGCCCAAAGCTTTGGGACCCTGTACCTGCATGGGAGACCTGAAAGAGTTCCTGGCTCCTGGCTTCAGATTGGTTTAGTTCTGGCCTTTGGGGAGTGAAGCATTGGATGGAAGATCTTTTTCTCTGTCTCTCCTCTGTCAAATCTCTTTTCCAGTGAAAATAAATAAATCTTTAAAAAAAGAAGGAAAGAGAAGAAAAGAAAGAAGGGAGAAGCTGCTGTTGTTAATTTGTCTTGTTTCATTTGGTCACTAGTAAATAGCTTTGTTCCTCCTGTCTTTACGTATATGATACCTGAACATGAGCAGAATTGTCAAGGGGCTATTTGTCTCAGTTTCTGTTGTGTAGATTAAATGAGGACAGACTAATTTACCTCTTATTTTTTCTTTTTGTAGGGTAGTGACTTTTTTGAAAGTTTGCTTCAGAAGCTGCAGGTTACTTACAAGTTCAAACTGGAGGATTACATGGACGGCCTTGCCATTCGCAGCAAGCCATTACGCAAGACCGTAAGTCAGCTTCTTGAGCTTAAAATTACTCATTTTTTAGTAAGCGTGTTGTTTTTAGCAATAATCGCGCCTCCGGTAAACCTCATTGGCTACGATACAGCCACTGCGAGAAGCTAGTAAGCGTGATGTTATGTGTTAGTTATGTGTTAGACATTGTGCTGGATGTTGAAGATAATAAAATTCAGTAAGGAAATGGACAGACTAAATCATCCATTACCACACTGTAAGTACCACAGTAGTATATAGAGAGTATACAGGTATCTAGAGTGTTGAAGAGACATCCAGTGAAATGGATCTGACTTAGTCTGATTTGGGTCAAGGAAGACTCCTTAAAGACTGTCAGGCTGACTCTTGAAACACGACTATGAAGGGCGGCTGAGATAGAGGGCACAGCCAGTCTGCTGCCCTTTGTGAAGTGGTATGAGGTTATTATTGTGAGTAAAGCTAAAGAAGTAGGAAGTGACTAGATAGTAAACTTGTTGTATACTGTCCTGAAGAGTTTAGACTTCCTTCAAAAGCGTTGGAGAATCTTGACTTGACTTTTCAGCTAATGGATGACATAGTTTTCCTGCTAGAAACACTCTGGCACATTGACGAGTTTTACTTGGGAGGTGGACAAAAGTGAAGTTATGGGAGTCAGGTTGTAGGAGGTGATAGAGGTGAAAAAGAGGAGAGAGACCAGGAAGACGTAGCTGAAGTAGAATTGAATTGTTGGCTGATTTGGCGTGAGGGAGGAGATGGGAGGTATTAGGTAGGAATTGGTGTCATCTCCTGGTTTGTGGCCTAGGGCAGTGGCTGCAAAGAGGAGGATCGTTCAGATCTGAACAGTGGAGGTGCATATCTGGAATTTGAAAAGGAGCAAATGATATTTTGGTCTGTCTGAAAGAACTGGGCCAGTAAAACACAAGTTGCTAGTGGGTGGGTGTTAAGACATAAGTTGGGATACGGAGAAGGCTGGCCAGAATGGGAAACATTGGTAAGTAGTACAGCATTTTCACATGCCAAGGTTACAAAAACTAATTACTGCAAGTTGGATTGCAACCTCATCAAGAATTTGTTTCAGTTTGAGAAATTTGAAAGCATATAGTGAGAGGGGAGAATTAGTAGAGATAATGGGAGAATAACATAGACCATTCTTTTTTTTTTTTTAAGATTTATTTATTTATTGGAAAGTCAGATATACAGAGAGGAGGAGAGAGAGAGAGGAAGATCTTCCGTCCGATGATTCACTCCCCAAGTGAGCGCAACGGCCGGTGCTGTGCTAATCCAAAGCCAGGATCCAGGAACTTCTTCCGGGTATCCCACATGGGTGCAGGGTCCCAAGGCCTAGGGCCGTCCTTGACTACTTTCCCAGGCCACAAGCAGGGAGCTGGATGGGAAGTGGAGCTGCCAGGATTAAAACTGGCGTCCATATGGGATCCCAGCATGTTCAAGGCGAGGACTTCAGCCACTAGGCCATGCTGCCGGGCCCAAACATAAAGCATTCTTTTAAAAATCTTGGCTGTGAAGGTAAGGAGGAAAAATAACTAGAAGAGAATATAAAGTTGAAAAGTTTTTTTTTTTTTTTTAAGATTTATTTATTATTACTTGAACGGGAGATTTAGAGAGAGAAAGAGAGACAGAAGGAAAGATTTTCCATTTGCTAGTCACACCCCAAATGGCTATATTGGCTGGAGCTGAGCTTATCTGAAGCTGGGAGCAAGGAACTTCTTCCAGGTGTCCCAAATGGATGCAGAGGCCCTAGAACCTTTGCTATTCTCTGCTACTCTCGCAGACCACAAGCAGAGTTGGATGGGAAATGAAGCAGCCAGGACATGAACTGGAACCCATAGGATCTGGCACTTGCAGGTGGAGGATTAACTTGTAGAGCCACCACACTGGCCCAAAGTTTTTGTTTTCTAAAGTGAGAGAGACATGGGGTATATTTAGGGAGAGGTTAGAGTTTTGTTAGAGGGAAATACAGTGTGAAGTAAAGGCTTTTTCTCGTTTTTCTGTTTCTTCTGATTAATTGCGTTGTACCAGCTGTCTTACAAATCAAGGTATATTTATCGATCCTTGTAAATGTGGCCAGTGCTGTTCTAGGCAGAGGCAATCCAGCGCTAACCAAGAAAGCTGTAATCTCGGTTCTTGAAGTCTAGAATTTGTGTGAATACAGCTATTAGATGAGTAAATGAATATGCAGTGAATTTTATAGAGGGGATTGTGGGCGTATGCTGTAATGGGGCACACCTGGTTCCTCAGGGAAACTTGAGGGCAATTGGAGTTAAGCTGGGACGTCAGGCAGGAGCAGGTGTGTGTAGAGACTCAAGAAGAGCAGCACCCTTGAGGGGAGAGGTTGGGAAGGAAGCCTTTTCTGAGCATGAGAGTGAGTGGGAAAGTGCTGCTACCTAGGTGAGCTGGGCTGTGTCCCCCTGGACCTCAGGCTGAGGAGTCGCGGGGACAGAGTTTGAGGTGGTAGAGTCACTGCATGTGGAGGTGTAACTGGTGTCTGTTGCTCTATCAGCTAAGTCTACAGAGTTTCTTGGTGTTCTTGTGGAGAAAGGAGGATGTGTGGGGTAGTCAGGCCCCAGTGGCATCCAGTGAGACGGAACTCTGCTGGGTCATGAGTTGGAGTTATCTGCTAGAAACTCATGTGCAGGTGCTGTTTAGTTGGCTGGTGAGTAAACCTTCCCAGAGGGTCAGTTTCTACTTTCTCTCTCTCAGATGAGCTTTGTGCCTTGGTCGGTGACTTGTTTAATCTCTTTCTGTATTGAGTGCAGTTGAATTGTTGAGCTGTATGTTGTGGAATGGTATATTCCTTAGGGAGATTTTAAAGCATTTATTTATTTATTTATTTTACTTATTTTGGGGAGATCCATCTTCCATCTGCTGGCTCACTCTTTCACACCGACCAGGGCTGGGCCAGGCAGAAGACCCACCTTGTGGGTGGGTGGCAGGGATGCAAGCACAGGAGCCCTCTGAAGTACTGTCTGCAGTGGAGGATTGGAGCTGAGAGTGCAGGTGGAGGGTCAGACCCAGGCAGTTCCAGAGCGGGCTGTAGATGTTGTCGTCGGCACCTTGACTGCTGTGCCAAATGTGTGTCCCTGGGAAATCTTTCTGAATGATTTGTGAATTTGTTTTTCTTGGGGTAAGGACACGGGTTGGGAAAGTTTGCCTCTGGGTGTGTGCCTCCAGGCAGCATCCATTCTGAGAAAATATTTTGGTAGTACTACACAGTCCCTGGACGAGGTGGTGTTCAGTAAAGGATGAAACATGCAGGACTTTCAAAGGTTTACAGAAATGTGTATTACAAAGAAACTCTGCATGGGTTCTTTTTTAAAGTTCATTTTCCTTTTAGTTTTTGAAGTGCACTCTTAATGTTTTCTGCAATGGGAGCATAATTTAGTAATATAATTCAGTGATAGTAACCGAGAAAAGACTAAAATGGTAGCAGGGAAAGAACAGTAAGCAATTTTTATTTATTTGTTAAGATTTATTTTATTTATTTGAGAGGCAGTTATAGAGAGGAAGAGAGGTCTTCTATCCACTGGTTCTTTTTTTAAGATTTATTTATTTTTATTGCAAAGTCAGAGATATAGAGAGGAGGAGAGAGAGGGGAAGATCTTCCGTCCTATGATTCACTCCCCAAGTGAGCGCAACGGCCGGTGCTGTGCCAATCCGAAGCCGGGAACCAGGAACTTCTTCCAGGTCTCCCACATGGGTGCAGGGTCCCAAGGCTTTGGGCCGTCCTCGACTGCTTTCCCAGGCCACAAGCAGGGAGCTGGATGGGAAATGGAGCTGCCAGGATTAGAACCAGTGCCCATATGGGATCCCGGTGCGTTCAAGGCGAGGACTTTAGCTGCTAGGCGCCGCCAGGCCCTTGGTTCATTTTCTAAATGACCACACCAGCTGGAGCTGTGCCAAGCCACATCCACAACTCCAAGGATTCTTCTAGGTCTCTCATGTGGGTGCAGGGACTCAAGAACTTGGGCCATCCTCCACTGCTTTCCCAGGCACAGTAACAGGGAACTGGATCAGAAGTGAACCAGCTGGGTCTTGAAGTAGTGGAAATGTAGAATGCCAATGTCATGAGCAGTAGTTTAACCCACTATGTCTCAATGCCAACCACAAAAATTTTCTAAATATTGCTTATTTGTTTATAAAATGTTTTTACATTTGTTCCATTCAGTGGAATAAAAATGACAGACACCTGTATAAGTGCTGGCATCACAGGTGGTGGCTTTACCTGCTACACTCCAATGGCTCCCCCCTCAGTAAATTTTTGTATCACACTGTTAGCAGATTTTTTGATAGTAACAGTTAAGCTAAACTACATGCTTTTTTTCAAGATTCACTAATTGGGCCTGGTGTGGTAGCCTAGTGACTAAAGTCCTTGCCTTACATGTGCTGGAGTCCCATCTGGGCACTGATTCCAATCCCGGCTGCTCCACTTCCCATCCAGCTCCCAGCCTGTGGCCTGGGAAAGCAGTCGAGGACGGCCCAAAGCTTTGGAACCCTGCACCCATGTGGGAGACCTGGAAGAAGTTCCTGGCTCCTGGCTTCAGATCGGCTCAGCTGTGGCTGTGTGGCTGTTGCAGCTGCTTAGGGAATGAAGCATTGGATGGAAGATCATCATCTCTGTCTCTTCCTTCTCTCAGTAAATCTGCTTTTCCAATAAAAATAATTATTTTTTTTTTTAAAAGAAGACTCATTTATTTAAAAGGCCAAGTGACAGAACAGGAGAGACAGCTCTACCTGTGCTGGTTCACTCCCTGGATCACTGTAGCAGCGGGTCTAGGCCCAGGGATCGCCAGAAGCCCCTAAAACTCCATGCATTTATTCCATGTACTTGGGCCATTTTTATTCACCTACAAGAGTATGCACCTGCAGGGAGTTGGATTGGAACAGAGCAGCTGGTGCTCAGCTGGCCTGCTGATTTGGGATGCTTGTGCTAAGCAGCTGCGGCATCGCAAGGCGCTCCCTGAAACTTGACGCTCTGTTGAAGACCTGAAAACAACTAGTGCTGCTTTGTCATTTTGATTCCATCTTGTCTTTTGGCGTTGAAGCCAGTGTTTCTGTATATTCTCTGATTGTTTGTTTGTTTTTTCCTGAAGGTAAAATATGCCCTGATCAGTGCCCAGCGATGTATGATTTGCCAAGGCGATATCTCCAGGTATCGGGAACAAGCCAACGATACAGCCAACTACGGGAAAGCACGCAGGTACTGTGTCTCCGGCTCCTTGTTTCGCTCTCCTGTGTGACTTGACGCTAGTCTCTTAAGAGCAATGAGCACTTGAGCTGCTTCACGTGTGGCTGTCTTACAGGTGTCCCTGTTGGTCCCCATAGTCATGCCTTACTGCCGTAGGGGTACATCTCACTAACACTCCGGTGTGTGTCTTAAGTGGTAGGGCTTATCAGGATGAATTGGGAAGGAGTTGATATGGAGCTAGCATTTTCTTACTGTTTTTCTATTCTAGTTGGTACCTGAAGGCCCAGCACATTGCTCCCAAGAATGGGCGCCCCTATAACCAGTTGGCTTTGCTGGCAGTGTATACGGTAAGAAATCCTGTGGCTAGAGGAAGTGTTTTGCAGGCAGTGTCTTAACATATGTATGTTGGTAGCATCAGCTCCTAGAGCTCAAGCCCACCTAGTTACAGTTGTCCGAAGAATATGCCCTTCTGCCCAACATTCTCAAACTCCTTTTGTGGCCGTCCTTCTGCAGGTAAGTTGTCAGGGATGCTCGCTGCATCCACCCAACACTCGCGCACACTCGCGCTCCGGTTCCTGAGGGAGTGAGTGCTGTGCTCCGTCCAGGCCCACATCACTTCCTGTTTTTGACCAGAGCTTCTGCTCTGAATCTCATCTTGCTCTCCTTCCCTTCCCTCTCCTGTTGACAAAGGCTCCTCGTGGTGGAAAACAAGGCTCCTTTCCCCTCACTCTCTTGAAGTCCTTGCCAAGCCGTGAGCTGGCAGCTCCTTGCTTTCTTCCACCTCAGACCTTCTTGTTCGTCTTAACTTTCTAAGATATCTCCTTAGCAGGAGCAGAGTAAATGCCAGATTTTTACCTCTTGAGAGCTTATCAGCCTCCTCCACATGTGTCTCTGCCAGGAGAGGTGGGCCTTAGGAGCCGAGGGGGCTCTGTGGGGCAAGGAAGCTGAGTGGAAAAGGAAGAGGTGGAGTCAGAGTTAGTTGAGTATAAGAAGCAGTTAACATGTTCATTAGCATGCAGAAGGTTTTATTTTTTTTTTAAAAAAAGATTTATTTATTTTTATTACAAAGTCAGATGTACAGAGAGGAGAGACCGAGAGGAAGATCTTCCATCCGATGATTCACTCCCCAAGTGACTGCAACAGCTGGAGCTGAGCCAATCTGAAGCCAGGAGCCTCTTCCTGGTCTCCCACTTGGGTTCAGGGTCCCAAGGCTTTGGGCTGTCCTTGACTGTTTTTCTAGGCTACAAGCAGGGAGCTGGATGGGAAGTGGAGCTGCCGGGATTTGAACCGATACCTATATCGGATCCTGGCACTTTCAGGGCGAGGACTTTAGCCACTACGCTGTTGCGCCAGGCCTGAGAAGGTTTTCTTAATACTGTAAAATTCATTGTCCAAATTAATAGTGCCTTAGTTTATATTCTCATCTATTGCACAATACATTCAAAAAAATTTCTAAAAATTATGGACTGAAATGATTGAATAATGTGTTTCTGAAGAAATACTATAAAATACTGCACTTTTAAAAAAATTTATTTTATTTTTGTTGGAAAGGCAGATATACAGAGAACGAGATACAGAGGGAAAGATCTTCCAACCACAAGTGGCTGCAATGGCCAGAGCTGATCCAAAACCAGGAGCCAGGAGCTTCTTCCGTGTTTCCCACATGGGTGCAGTGTCACCAGGCCTTGGGCCATCCTCGAATGCTTTCCCAGGCGACAAGCAGGGAGCTGGATGGGAAGTGGAGCAGCTGGGACACAAATTGGTACCAATATGGCATCCTGGTGCGTGCAAAGCGAGGACTTTAGCCACTAGGCTACTGCACTGGGCCCTGGATTTTCTTTTGTTTTTTTGAAATTTCTGTCTTATTCTTTTTGTGATAGGTACTTGCAATCTTTTTAAAAAGATTTATTTATCTTTATTGGAAAGTCACATTTACAAAGTGAAGAAGAAACAGAGAGAAAGAGCTTCCATCTTCTAGTTTATTCCCCAAGAGCCACAATGGCTGGAACTGAGCTGATCTCCAGCTAGGAGCCAGAAGCTTCTTCCAGGTCTCCCAAGCAGGTGCCGGTCCCAAAGCTTTGGGCTGTCCTCCACTGCTTTCCCAGGCCACAAGCAGGGAGCTGGATGGGAAGTTGAGCTGCCGGGATTAGAACTGGTGCCCACATGGGATCCTGGCAGGTACAGCATGAGTACTTTGGCCACTAGGCTACTGCACCAGGCACAGTATCTGACCACTGCACTTTGCATTTTGTTTCCTCTCCCTTTTTCCGTAACTTTTTCTTTAGCTACTTTTTCCTTTTTTTTTTCCCCCCCTGGTCTCCTTCCTAGCTTCTCCTTGTAATTACTGAACGAAATGTTAGGTCCTTGTTGTCAGAAAGTGTAATTAACCATCACTTCTGTTTAGTTCCAAGACATTTCGGAACTCTGAAAGAAAATGTTGTAGTTAGTACCTGCTTTCTTCCTCCGCCGCCTTAGCAGCCGCTAGTTTGGTTTCTGTCTCTGCTGTTACCAATTCTGGATGTTTAAATACAATCACAAGATATGTGATCCTTTTTGCGTGACCTCTTGCTATTTTGGTAAAGTGTTTGTACTTCTTCCTGCAGTGGCATGTGTCTGTATCAGTGGCTGAAGACACTCCGTTATGTGGGCACACCGCCTATGTTTTGTTAGTGGGCAGTTTAATTGTTTCCCTCTTTTAGCCATTTTGTGAATAGTGCTACTGTGAAATACTAGTATTTTAGTACCATTTTCAGTTCTTTTTAAGCCTTTGTTTAGGAGTGAAACTGCTGGGTTTGACTGAGTAACTGCCAAAGTCTTTCCTGTAGTGGCTGTGCCGTTTTCTGCCTCACTGGCAGTGTACAGGAGTCCTGATTTCTCAACATTCTTGCTAAAATTTGTTCCCTTTCTCCCTCTGCCCACCCTTTCTTTCCATCTTTTTGTCATGTGGTTGGTACCAACCTAGTGGTTGTTAAGTCATATCTCATTGGAAGAGTTTTGATTTTTTTTCCCAGTTGAGATTTTGTTTCCCCTTAATACACTTGATTTTGGGGCTTTGGAGCAACAGTTTGGGCTTATAGAATGATTGAGAATACAGTACGGCTTCCTTTCAGCTGCTACCCTTTTAATAGTAACTGCTTGTTAATAATAATAGTTTTCCTTATTAGTAACATAGTTCGTGGGGGTGCATCCGGTACCCTTGGTGAGCTAGTGTTGATGCAGTGTTCTTAGTGGAAATCCACCTTTTGTGCCTCCTAAAGGTTGGGACGATAACTGTTACAGTGTCAGAGAATACAGAGTAGCTCCTGTTCCACCTCACTTAACTTCCTGGCAACTACTGATCTTTTTATTATCTCCATAGTTGTGCCTTTTCCAGAATGTCACGTAGTTGAAATCATGCGCTGTGTAGCCCTTTCAGACTGACGTCTTCATTTGGAAATAGGCGTGTGAGGGTTTTGTCTGTGTGTGTGTTTATTTTTGTTGCTGAATGATGTTCCATCTAAGGGATGAGCCACAGTCCCTTCACTCACGTATTGAAGGATATCCTGGTTGCTTTAAGTGCTGGTGATGATGAATAAAGCTACTGTAAGTATTGATGTGCAGATTTTTTTTTTTTTTAAAGATTTATTTTTATTATTTTTTCATTGGAAAGGCGGATATACAGAGAGGAGAGACAGAGAGGAAGATCTTCCGTCCGATGATTCACTCCCCAAGTGAGCACAACGGGCCGATACTATGCCGATCCGAAGCCAGGAGCCTCTTCCAGGTCTCCCAAGCGGGTGCAGGGTCCCAAAGCTTTGGGCCGTCCTCGACTGCTTTCCCAGGCCACAGGCAGGGAGCTGGAAGGGAAGCGGGGCTGCCGGGATTAGAACCGGCGCCCATATGGGATCCCGGGCGTGCAAGGCGAGGACCTTTAACCACTTGCGCCACCGCGCCGGGCCCCAATGTGCAGATTTTTATGTAGAAATGTTTTCAACTTGTTGAGGTAAATCCTTCGGAATGAAATTTCTAGCTCAAGTGATGAGAATGGGTCGAAGCGCTCTGAGAGACTGCAGAGCTGTTTCCTCGGTGCCCGTGCCGTGTGCATTCCTGCCAGCGAAGGACAAGAATTCCTGTTTACCCTCGGCTCTGCCAGCACTGGGGGTAGCCAGTGATGTCTTGTCAACACTTGTGATTCTCCTTTGCCGATTTTAAATTTGGTGTTCTTTTCTCATCTTTGCATTTCAGGAGTTCTTTGTATATTTTGGATACAAGTTCAGATATACGAAAAACATGTATCACATGCATGTCTTGCAACCTGTAGTTTATTTTCTCATTAACTAGGATTGTCTTCATAGAGCAGAAGTTTTAATTTTTTCTTGAAGATTTATTCATTTTTATTGGAAAGGAGGATTTACAGAGAGAAGGAGAGACAAAGAGCCTCCATCTGCTGTTTCATTCTCCTGCTGGCTGCAGTGGCCAGGGCTGAACTGATCTGAGGCCAGGAGCCAGGAACTTCTTCCAGGTCTCCCACACGGATACAGGGTCTCATCCTTTCTCCCCTGAATTGCCTTTGCATCTTTGTCCAAGATCAGCTCAGGATGTACGTGTGGATTTATGTCTGGGCTCTCTGTTCTGTTTGATTCATTGTGTTTTTGAGCTCAGCCACACTGTCTTCTTGATTATTGTAGGTGCATAGTGTGTTTTTCACTTGAGTAGTGTCAGTCTTCCAATGTTGGAATACTGTGTTAGCTATTCTGAATCTTTTGCTTTTGCATGTAAACTTAGATACTCTTTGTTGATATGTACAAACTTAATGCAAAGTGGTGACTCACTGTGATTTTGACTTGCATTTCCATAGCAACTAATGGTGTTGGACATCTTTCATGTGCTTCATTGACCATCTGGAGCAGCAGCTTTTCAGGTCCATTGCCCATTGGGAAATAATTTTTTAATTTGAAACCTTTTAATGTTAAACATTTTGGTGACAGTCTTCTGTGTCCATTTATTTTATTTAAAAGACAAATGGAGGGAGTCAGGGACAGCTAGACCTCCTACCCACGGGCTTACTTTCCAAATGCCCTCAGGAGCAAGGCCGAGGCCAGGGGTGTGGGAAGTCAGTCCGGCTCGCCCGTGAGGGGCTCAAGTGCTAATGGGGTCTTCTGCCTTCTTGGGTGATTTACAGGGATCTGAATCAGAGTTAAAGTCGCTGGGACTTGAACTGGCACTCCATTACAAGTGACAGCTCAGCCTGCCCTGTCACAACACTGTCATCTATTTCACAGTGTTTATTGACAGGACTGGGGAGTGGCACCATGGTTCAGGAGGTTGAGCTTCCACTTGCAGTGCCAGCATCCTGTATGGTTTCCTGTTCGAGTCCCGGCTGCTCTACTTCCAATCCAGCTCCCTGCTAATGCACCTGGGAAAGCAACAGAGGATGTTCCAAGGTCTTGAGCTCTTACACCCATCTTGGAGACTTGTAATAAGCTCCTGGCTTCAGAACCAGTCCAGCTCTGGCCATTTCTGCCGCTGGGGAGTGAACCAGCAAATCCAAGATCTCTTTTTCTCTCTCTGTAAATCTGCATTTCCAATAAAAATAAATCTTTAGGACAAGTCTTATAGTTTTAGTTCTTATCTTTTTGGATCCATTTTTGGATGAATTTTATGTATTGTAATTTGAGCTGGGAGATAGAAAGTAAGAGTTCCCCTTCCATGGTTCCCTTTCAACTTGCTCTCGACAGAGCTGAACTGGGCCAAACTCAGAGTCAGGGACTTATCCAGGTGTTTCTTCTGCTTTTGCAGTGGGATCAGTCTCTTTGCTGCTGCCTCCCAGTATGTGCAGGAGCAGGCAGCTGGTGTCAGGAGCCAGGGGCTGGGCACTTTAATATGAAATGCAGCTGTCTTACCTGCTAGGCCAACAGCTGGCCCCTCCTCGCTTTAAAGATTTATTTGAGAGACAGAGTGGAGAACATCTTAGATTAATTTTGTATGTAATGGGAGGTAAGTATTAGGCTCGAATTTTTTTTTAACTTGTGGATGTTTACCTCTTTAAGCACTATTTGTTGAAGAGTCTGTCTAATGATCTGGGCATTTTTCTTGAAATCGATATATAGGGTTACTTCTGAACTCTCAGTTCTTTCTTGTTGATTCAGGTATTTGTCCTTATACTAATCTCAACTTCTAATCTTTGCAAATTTGTAATACAAAAAAATTGGGAAATAGGATTTCATTAGTTTTTTTGTTTTTTCCTTCCAGTGCTGTTTAGGCTATTTGGAGTTCTTTGTTATTTTTGTGTGTATTTTAGTATTGTCTTTTTCATTCTAAAAAAGCAATTATTAGGATTTTGATAAATACTGCATTGAATCTGTGTATCACTTTGCGAAGTGTTGCTGTCTTGTTCTGTGTCCTTTCACCTTGGTTGTCAGGTAACATCGTTTCGTCAGCTTCCCCCTCTCCCTCGGTCATTTACTGGAACTAGGATGCTTATTGAGAACATGCTTATGTGCAGTGTGCTTTTGCTCAGTGGTGTGAATAATAAAGTATGTGGTAGGGTTTCTGTCCTAGAAAAAAGAAAAAAAAAAACTTTGAGAAGACAACAGAGGTGTGTAGCTAATACAGATTAATAACATATAGCTGAATGTTAGATACGCTGTTATTTGTTGAACTTCTAAAAAAATGCTGTGAATGAAATAATAGGTAAAGATAGAAGTTACATCTCAATTTCACAAGCTTAAAAATTGAAAAAATACAGAATCCATAGAATACAGTCTTGAGTGGTATAGGAAGAGTTAATATAATTGAGATAAGATTGAAAGTAGGAGCTACGTAAGTAACTGTAATGGTATACTACATAGTCTGTTAAACTATGTGTGTTATGTAAATTTACTGTTTCCAGGATCTGTGTGTGTATATATATCTGAATTTCACAATTAAGGAAACTGTTTCTAAGCTAACTTGCTTTGTTTTGATGCTTGAGGGAGAGAGAACCCGGTACTGAAGGTGCATTTTGAGACAGAGAAAATAGAATATGAAGAATATGAGGTAGGAGAGACAGAAAAGCTTTTGTGTATCCTTTCCCTCTTGGTTTCAGTATTTTTTTTTTAATTTATTTATTTTAATTGAAAAGTTAGATTTACTGAGAGAAAGAGACAGAAAGATCTTCCATCTGCTTATTCACTCCCCAAGTGGCCGCAAAGTCTGGAGCTGAGCCGATCCAAAGCCAGGAGCCAGGAGTTTCCTCTGGGTCTCCCACAGGGATGCAGGGTCCCTAGGCCTTGGGCCTCCTCCACAGCCCTCCCAGTCCACAAGCAGGGAGCTGGGAAGGAAGTGTAGCAGTGGGACACAAACTGGTGCCCATATGGGATCACGGCATGTGCAAGGTGAGGACTAGAGCCACTAGGCTGTTGCACAGGGCCAAGTTTCAGTATTTTTGCTTACTTTCTGATCTTTTATTTTTTCTTCCCTTAATTATTTGTAAAATGAATTGGAAAGGCTTGTTTTATTGAATTCACTGAATAATTTCCAAATTCAACTCAGATATTAATAAAAATTATAACAGCAACAGAATACAACTTATTGTGAAGCAGCTGATGAGAATCCAGCAGAGATAAGCCTGAGGACACTGCTGCTTGGGTATTATTATTCTCGTTGTCAAAGTGAAGATGATTACCTAACTTGTCCAAAGTCACACTCAGATCCTGAGTCAGCCAGTGCTTGGACAGGTTCATTTGATCCCAATTTCATATTTAAACTGTAGCATACCAATTCTCTTGGAAAGACAGGCAATATAAGGGGAATTGAATGTTTTTTTCTCTCCCTAGTGAGTACTCTCACCTTTGCCTAATGACAACCGTGTTCTGAGAAATGCATCATTAGGCAGTTTCACGGTTACACAGATGCAGTAGTGTATCCCTGTGTAAACTGAAATGGCTAGGGCTTCTCTAGGGGGTATAATCTCACAGGATAGCCATTCTAGATGCATTCTGTTGTTGATCAGCTTGTCATGTGGCCTATAGCTGTGCCTGGTTCTTGGAGCCTCTCTGCAGTAAGGTAAAGTGTGGTGCAAGGAGAGACCCCCTGATCAAATTCCCATAGGTTCTCCCGTGCACAGCATTCTGATGTTCTTCCTGGAATTGCTCACAGCTCAGGGGCACAGGCTGGGAGAGGTGATTAGGGTTTCCTAGATCCGCAGGCCCCTGCAGGAGTGCGAAGGTGTGCTGGGTGACTGAATGTCTCTGGTTTCTTTCCACAGAGGAGGAAGCTTGATGCCGTTTATTACTATATGCGCAGCTTAGCTGCCAGCAACCCTATCCTGACTGCCAAGGAGAGTCTCATGAGCTTGTTTGAAGAGACCAAGCGGAAGGTGAGTTGAGGGGCACTGACTGCCGCTGTCCGCTGTGGTCCCATTGGGCTGGGCTGCTGCATAGGCGGTCAGGCCGATCTTAGAGCTTGCAGGGGCTGCCAGTGAAAGGATAAGTAACTTTGAAACAAAGCAGATGTCACTCTGCTACTTTGGAACCAAGATGGAATTGTTACTTTTTTTTTAAGATTTATTTATTTTTTTATTACCAAGTCAGATATACAGAGAGGAGGAGAGAGAGAGAGGAAGATCTTCCGTCCATTGATTCACTCCCCAAGTGAGTGCAACGCCGATGCTATGCTGATCTGAAGCCAGGATCCAGGAACTTCTTCCGGGTATCCCACACAGGTGCAGGGTCCCAAAGCTTTGGGCCATCCTCCACTGCTTTCCCAGGCCTCAAGCCTGGAGCTAGATGGGAAGTGGAGCTGCCGGGATTAGAACCGGCGCCCATATGGGATCCTGGCGCTTTCAAGGCGAGGACTTTAGCTGCTAGGCCATGCCACTGGGCCCTGGAATTGTTACTTTTTATAGACCTTAGGTTGCAACCATAGGAGATGGTTAGCTGAATTCTAAGGGAGGCTGTTTGTGCATGTGTGCGTACAGGCAGAGCAGACGGAAAAGAAGCAGCATGAGGAACTTGAGCTGAGCTCTGAGCAGTGGCGGAAAGGAAAGAAGTCCACCTTCCGACACATTGGAGATGACACTACGCGCTTGGAGATCTGGATCCATCCATCTCATTCCCGGCCCTCCCAGGGCACGGAGTCTGGAAAAGAGTCGGAGCAGGAGAACGGCCTTGGCAACCTGAGCCCCAGTGAGGTAAGTTCCTGAGATTTGGCTGTGGGTAAGCCTGGGTGCCCCAGTCGTGCACTGAGTGGCTCTGGGTGTGCCCTCCCCACTCTGGGCAGGGAAGACCATTGGGGCATCCCTGACACCTGCTGCTGTGTTACCCATACCAGCCATATCCTTACTGTGCACTTCCCTATCTCACCACTGTGTGGCACTATAGAATTTTGTAAAAGTAGGGATCAGATTTTTTTTTTTTCTCTGTTGGTTGTCTCCGGTATGACACCTTAGTATATTCTCTCTAGGATTTTATGTATTTTTTTCCTCTTGGTGGAAACATGCTGGGGTGGTTAGTCTGGTTTGTGATAGCCTTTTATGCAATATCCTTTATGATTCTTGGACTGGGACTGTTTCCTTGAAGCCAGGAAAGATGACAGTGATAGGCTTACCTAGAAAGTTTCCTCTTGATTCACTTAAATAGTTCTTTAGTTACGTTGTGCCAGGCACGAAAGATACCAGAGAAGATCTGACCTTGTTCTCAAGGAGAACATTCTAGTAGCAGATGTAAGAATGAATGAGTTGTTAGAATGCAGTAGAATGAATTTTGTTTGAGGTTCACATCCAGTATTGTAGCTGTGAGACCAAAGCACTGTTGATCATAAGCTTTTGAAATGTTAAAAAAAAAAATGAGTTGGGGTTGACTAGAGGAGAAGGGGAGGGAGACGGGAAAGCATATCCCGGGCAAAAGGAATGGCAGGTGCAGAAGCCCGGGCCGGGGAGGGAGCCTCGTCCTTAGGCAAGTGCAGAAGCTCGTACTTGATGGCTTGAAAGTAAAATTCTTAGTGAAGTGGGTGATAGGGTAAGCTGGGGCCGGATGTTGAGGAATCAGCCGATGAATAATCTTACCTTTATCCTGAAGATAGTCGGATGCCATGGAATAATTAGGGCAAGAACATAGCTGATCTTCGTCTTAGAGAAATACTGACGTGGCTGCTTTGTGGAAAGTGTAGAGAAGATTGAGATTAGAACAGCCGAGATCAGTGCCGTTGTTACACAGGGGAGTTGTGTAAAGGATTTGGGCTGAAGGTGGAGGGTGAGAACCGGCCCAAGGTGTACTGTTAGTCCAGCTCGCCATGGGGCGGAGGACGTGAGAGCTCGGGGAGAAGCAGGGTCAGCAGTGTCAGCTGGGTTCCTCGTTTGGAAACTGGGAAGGTAATGTTGTATTCTTTCAGGTAGGGAATAAAAGCACAGACGGTCTTTGGAGAAAGGTGACCAGTTTGTATTTGTACATGCTGAATTTGTTACTTCGGTAGGAGACTGAAGTGGGAGTGTTCAGAAACTGAGGAAAGTGGTCTAGGCCAGAGAGAATATTTTTTTTTTTTAAAGATTTGTTTATTTTATTTGAAAGGTAGAGCTAGAGACAGAGATGGAGAGAGACAGAGAGAAATTGATCTTCTATCTACTGGTCCACTCCCCAAATGTCCGCAAAGGCCAAAGGGGTGGTCAGGCTGAAGCCAGGATGAAGGAGCTTCTTCCCGGTGTCCCATGTGAGTGTCCAGGACCCAGGTGTTTGAGTCATCTCCTGCTGCTTTCCCAGGTACATTAGCACGGAGCTGGGCCAGAAACGGAGCAGCTGGGCCTCCGGTCAATGCCCATAGGGAGTGCTGGCAGTGTAGGCAGCCACTTAACCTATCAGTGCTGCCACACTGGCCCTGAGATGAAGTTTTTTTTCCCCCTTTAAAATTCTTTGTTTTCCATGGTGCAGTTCCTTAGACTTAGAGATTTCCCTCTCCCAGAGATGAAGATTTTTTAAAAGATTTATTTATTTTTATTGAAAAGTCAGATATACAGAGAGGAGGAGAGACAGAGAGGAAGATCTTCCATCTGTTTATTCACTCTCCAAGCAGCTGCATCAGCCATTGCTGAGCCAATCTGAAGCCATGAGTTTGGAGCCTCTTCCCGGTCTCCCACATGGGTGCAGGGTCCCAAGGTTTTAGGCCGTCCTCCACTGCTTTCCCAGGCCACAAGCAGGGAGCTGAATGGGACATGGCACTGCTGGGATTAGAATCTGTACCCATATGGGATCCTGGCATGTGTTGAAGGCGAGAACTTTAACTTCTAGGCTACTGTGGCGGACCCCCAGATTTTCAAAATTAGCATTACAGCAGAATTTCTGCGTGAATATCCTTTTCTAGTATGTTTCTGTTATGGCTGTATGATATTCCTATGAAGGTATGTATCATTTATTTAACTTACGTAATTTAAATAGTTTTGTGTATTGCTTATTTATTGTAGTTGTCCTTTTTGGGTGATTAGCGTAAGTATGAATTGCTCCTTTGACAACTAGGGAATTTCTAACACAAAGTAACAAAATTCAGATTCATAAACAAATAGTTCTGCTCTGGGTGGTTGTTAGTAATGGTAGTAACCGCTGGTGTGCTGTTTGGTGTGGGCTCTGGCCCGCTCCCCGTCTCTGTGAATGGCTGCAGGAGGTTAGCTTGTGGCTTGCTGGTTTGCAGCCTTGCGATGTGGTTTAGGTTGAACATCCAGCCTGAGGAGGGACTGCCAACCTCAACTGCAAGTGGTGTCCTATTGAGAGCCACAGTTGAACTCTTCTGCAGGCAGGCCGCTCAGCCAGTGCTGCTGGGGCTCCAGGCCTTCTTTATGAAGTCCACGTGCTTTCTGCCATACTGTTTTCCCTTTGGAAATCAGAGCAGAGGAGTCCTGCTTGGCCAGTGAGTTATTTTTGGTGATCAGTGAATTTATTAAGGACATTAGGTAGTAACATCAGGAATCATTTTCACAGTGAAAGGCCAGGCGTCTGCGATGGAGATAGTGAGTTTTGTTTGGTTTTATTTGATCTGGCAGGGCCCCAAAATTGGGCCACCTTCTGCTGCCCCTCAGGTACATTAGAAAGCTGTATTGGCAGTGGAGCAGTGGGACTTGAACCAACACTTTAATGTACACTGCACTACTGTGTCACAACGCTGGCCTCACCAGTGAACCTCTAGAAAGATGGGTGATAGGATGGGTTTCCTGTTAGCCTGGTTTTCCAGTGCTTAGTCTAGTGGGAGAAACAGCTGTACCTACAGCATGTTCAGTAGACAGTTGATTCTTATTATTTGTGGTGTTAATGTTCTATAAAGTTGCCACAAACACTGGATATCGGACATTGCTCCTAAGAGACCCACAGTTCCTTCAACCTCTAGTCCTATTTTTAGTCACTTGATCTGTATATGACCTTAATTTGTATGTTTTTCTGTTTCAGCAGAAGCCACATGTTAAATCACTATATTTAACATGCATTGTTGATGAGCTCCTAGCCTACAGGCTCAGACCTGAAAGAACTTATCTAATGTATGTATTTTCTCTGAAAGGCATAGCAAAGATCGCTTGGACTTAGGAACACTGGACAGCATCTGAACCCTGAGCTTGGAGGCTGTTAGTGTGCAGTGAAGTCCCCGATCACTAATAACAGAAATGTGGGGATAGATAGACCATGAAAGGACATTCATTCAACAAGGCAAACTTGCTGTATTAGACTGCAGTTAGGAAAATGCACATTAAATGACCAAGTTTTTTTTTGCTGCTTTCCGTGTCTCAGAGTGACTGGCAAAGCACCATGATGATTGACTCAGGGGTTACATGTATTTTTTTTTTTTTTTTTAAATTGGAAAGACAGATATACGAGGAGAGAAGGAGAGGCAGAGAGGAAGATCATCTGTCCAGTGGTTCACTCCCCAAATGGTCGCAACAGCTGGAGCTGAGCCGATCTGAAGCCTGGAGCCAGGAGCTTCTTCCAGGTCTCCCATGCGGGTGCAGGGTCCCAAAGCTTTGGGCCATCCTTGACTGCTTTCCCAGGCCACAGGCAGGGAGCTGGATGGAAAACAGGGCTGCCAGGATTAGAACTGGCGCCCATATGGGATCCTGGTACGTTCAAGGCGAGGACTTTAACTGCTACGCTAATGTGCTGAGCCCACATGTAGGTTTTAAAGAGTAAGAGAATTCATTTATAATAACTGTGGTGAGGTCTGTGAGGGAGGAGGTAAGTACCGGGTACTGTGCAGGCACCAGGAAGAAGCGATGGGCCAGGCCTGGCTGAGGTGTGAGGAAGGCCTGGACAGAGTGCAGTGTTGCAAGTGAAAGGAGCAGCATGAGAGAAATTGTGAAACAGCAGAGGTTTGCAAGAATCTAACTTTGTAGTAATATGGGGGATAAAGTGAGAAAGTTGGGTGGTGGAGTGAACGCTGAACCTCTCACTGGAGTCGCATTCTCAATTGGTGTGTGATGTGTGTGGAAGGTAGTCAGTGGGCTAGTCTCCTATAATGTCTTTTTCCTGTATTACAGGAATACCTGTGTTTCTGAAATTTCTTAGTTTTCTTGTGTGTGTATGATTAACTTGATAGGAAATGGGCTAGTAATATGGCACTGCAGGTTAATCTGCAACCTTCAGTGCTAGCATCCCACATAGGCACTAGTTTGAGTCCTGACTTGTGCATGTACTCCGATTTTCTGCTAATGCACCTGGGAAAGTGGCAGAAGACGGTATAAGTCCTTGGGTCCCTGCCACCCATGTGGAAGACCCAGAAGAAGCACCTGGCTCCTGGCTTTGGATTGGCTCAGCTCTAGCCATTGTGACCATTTGGAGGGAGAATCAGCAAATGAAAGATATTTCTGTGTGTCTCTCTTTCTCTGTAAATCTACATTTTCAATAAAAATACATTTATTTTTTAAAGAAATACTCTGATTTTAAGATTAATAGTTACCTGTATATTTTAAAATTTTTATTTATTTTTATTGCAAAGTCAGACAGAAAGGAAGATCTTCCGTCCAGTGATTCACTCCTCAAGTGCCCTCAATGGCCAGTGCTGTGCCAATCCAAAGCCAGGAGCCAGGAACTTCCTCCAGGTCTCCCACACGTGGGCGCTGGGCCCCAAGGCTTTAGGCTGTCCTCAACTGCTTTCCCAGGCCTCAAGCCAGGAGCTGGATGGGAAGTGGAGCTGCCGGGATTAGAACTGGTGCCCAGATGGGAT